TAAAGATAATAAAGTTAACCATGTTCGTTCATCACGCTGCGCCTTGGTCTATTCAATACGACGATCGTGACAGAAGAACCCACCAAGTAAGGACCAAGCAGTGTGTCCCGGGGCAGAACTTGGACTGGACATGGGAGGAAGCGCCGGGAAAGGCCCTGGCGAAAGAGGAGCAGCGGCGTCAGCAGTGTCAACGTCGGACAGGCGAGAGGCAACCCCAGAAAATGTTTAGGGGGGGGCACACGGCATGGACGACGGGGCTGACGGAGGCAGAAAAGGGGCGGATTCAGAAGGCCACCAGGTTACGGGGGCCACTGGTCAAAGCAGGGAAGGAAGGTGTAGAGGCACGGCGAGAGGTACTGGGGTGTGTTACCAGTCCGGTCCGGCCCGTTCCAGATCCCGAGGTAGAGCCAGTGGTGTGTGTCCCCAGTACGGTCCGGCCTGTTCCGGCCCCTCGCACCAAGTGTACGGTGCGCGTCGCCAGCCCGGTCCGGCCTGTCCCTGCTCCACGCACCAAGCCTACGGTGTGCGTCGCCAGCCCAGTCCGGCCTGTCCCTGCTCCACGCACCAAACCTACGGTGTGCGTCGCCAGCCCGGTCCGGCCTGTCCCTGCTCCACGCACCAAACCTACGGTGTGCGTCGCCAGCCCGGTCCGGCCTGTCCCTGCTCCACGCACCAAGCCTACGGTGTGCGTCGCCAGCCCGGTCCGGCCTGTCCCTGCTCCACGCACCAAGCCTACGGTGTGCGTCGCCAGCCCAGCCCGGCCTGTCCCTGCTCTACGCACCAAGCCTACGGGGTGCGTCGCCAGCCCAGTCCGGCCTGTCCCTGCTCCACGCACCAAACCTACGGTGTGCGTCGCCAGCCCAGTCCGGCCTGTCCCTGCTCCACGCACCAAGCCTACGGTGTGCGTCGCCAGCCCGGTCCGGCCTGTCCCTGCTCCACGCACCAAGCCTACGGTGTGCGTCGCCAGCCCAGCCCGGCCTGTCCCTGCTCTACGCACCAAGCCTACGGGGTGCGTCGCCAGCCCAGTCCGGCCTGTCCCTGCTCCACGCACCAAACCTACGGTGTGCGTCGCCAGCCCGGTCCGGCCTGTCCCTGCTCCATGCACCAAACCTACGGTGTGCATCGCCAGCCTGGTCCGGCCTGTCCCTGCTCCACGCACCAAGCCTACGGTGTGCGTCGCCAGCCCAGCCCGGCCTGTTCCTGCTCCATGCACCAAGCCTACGGGGTGCGTCGCCAGCCCAGCCCGGCCTGTCCCTGCTCCACGCACCAAGCCTACGGTGTGCGTCATCAGCCTGGTAAGGCCCGTTCCTCCTCCACGCACCAAGCCAGGGGTGCGAGTCGTCAGCCTGGTAAGGCCCGTTCCTCCTCCACGCACCAAGCCAGGGGTGCGCGTCGTCAGCCTGGTAAGGCCCGTTCCTCCTCCACGCACCAAGCCAGGGGTGCGCGTCGTCAGTCCAGCACAACCCGTGCCTGGGTCACCGGTGCCTGGTAAGGTACCGGTCAACTGCTCCACTACGGAGCTGAAGCTAACCGCTCCTGCTAAGTCCAGTTCAGCTCCAGCCAGCGGGGCCAGACTGGACCAGGGGCGCTATGGGGGGTTTATTGGAGGGTGGTGGGCAAGGCCGGAGCCAGAACCGCCGCCGAGGAGGTATGCCCACCCAGCCCTCCCCTGTTTTGTTCAAGTTGAGGCGCGGTCGCAGTCCGCGCCTTTAGGGGGGGGGTACTGTCACACCCTGGCTCTGGGACTCTATATGTTGAGCCAGGGTGTGTTCATTCTGTTGTGATTATTTCTATGTTGGCTAGAGTGACTCCCAATCAGAGGCAACGAGTGTCAGCTGTCGTTGGTTGTCTCTGATTGGGAGCCATATTTAAATTGTCTGTTTTCCCTTTGTGTTTGTGGGTTCTTGTTCCGTGTTGGTCATTGTTACCGTGGACTTCACGAGTCGTTTCTTGTTTTGTTTATTGTTGTTTCTATTATCACTAAAGATAATAAAGAACCATGTTCGTTCATCACGCTGCGCCTTGGTCTATTCAATACGACGATCGTGACAAGTCTATCCATGTGGTCGCTAGTCAGTCTTGCTATTTGAGTCGTTGAAGAGTTATTGGGGGTTTACTGTATCGTGTTTTAAAATAAGAAGGCGACCAAAAATCGCTTTCCATTTGTAATGGAACGCTTTTTATGGAAAACCAAGTTCAAGCCAACATTCGATGTTGTCTTGCTCATAATAACTTCACATAGTTTTACCGCAACACCCTTCAGTTGAAACAGCGGGAAACAAACGAAAGCTGATCAGAAATGTAATAATTATGTTGGAGCAATGTAACCTCTAAATCGGCTACCATAACTTCAGTGACTTTTCAAGGACCAAATACCCTAGACGAAATATCTGATTTCAAGGTAGGCTATTCCATGATGACTTAATTGCACATCGCAAATATTCAACCAAGACTTTGAACTTTTTAAATAACTGGTTTGCATACCTATTCTTGCCTTAGCATTTACTGGTAGATATCATAACTTGGAACATCTTTCCTACCCCTACAGCGGTAGGTCTTCGGTGAGCTGCTCCACGCAACAACAAGCTGTTTTTCGAGCTACACGCTCTCTCTGCCGGACAGATTATCGATGCAAGATGTGTGCCGCACGAATGTGATAAATAGTGGCGACCCGTCATTCAGGGCAGGTTCGACCCAACCTGTTTGGCTTTCTTTTTTTGTGTGCCTGTTTTGCATGTTATTTTAGCATTAATACGTGTCACATATCAGTTTGCAAACAATGGAGAAAAAATAAAAATAATCTTTGAGTTAATAAAGCCACATACAAACATGGTCTCTTTTTTGCTTTCTTGAGTAAGGCAGCTCCAAAATGCAGGTGTTTCAGCCTAGCTCAGTGCTTTCTGTGGTGGTGGGGCAGCGAGCAGAAAATAATAATATGCCATTTAGCAGACACTTTTATCCAAAGCAACTTACAGTCATGTGTGCATACATTTTTACATATGGGTGGTCCCAGGGATCGAACCCACTACCCTGGCGTTACAAGCGCCATGCTCTACCAATTGAGCTACAGAGGACCATACAGAACATAGGGGTTGGTAATGTTCCTAGTTGCGCTGTGATTGGCTCAGTGTTCTGTCACTCATGGGGACACTATGTCACTGCAAAATCTACAGGGAGAGCTAAAAAATTCAAGCCCCTTGGGTGCTGCCATAGAGTTACATTAGAAGTGACCATCCAAGAAGGCTCAAGGTCATTGGCCACAGATAAAATGACTTCAAATCATGTTATATCTACCGTAGCTTTGATTGGACTGATCATGTCAACATCATACTTTCAAAATCTTAGCTAAAAAGCTAGCAGTCATCATCATGAATCAAGTCGACAATCTACTGGCAAATCCTTTTCCATCCTTGTCATATGAAGAGAAATTATGAAGAGAAATTATAGATAAAACTGATCGGTGCTCATCGGCCATTGGATATAAACATTACACAACAAGTTGGAAATCGCAAATTCAGCAATGAGTGGTTTGGAAGGAATCAGTGGAAAACTGCAAGCATTGCAAAGCAATCACTAGCCTGCTAGTGGAGTGGGTGTGTGGGTTTAAGGGTCTCTTTTCCAAGCTTAAAAAGGATAAACATTCAACATTGGCCATACTGTCAATCCAGCATGACTTCTGCCGCATTCAAAACAACTGGAAACTCGGAACTGGGAAATCTAAGACTTCAGTGAGTTCAAGACAACTGGGAACTCTGAAAAAAACGAGCTCCAACTGGGAAAATACGTTTTGAACGGTCATCCAACTCGGAATTCCAAGTCGGGAAGTCGGGCCTCTTTCTAGAGCTCCGACCTGAAGAGCACTGACGTCATGATTCGACGTTGCTTTTTTCAGAGTTCAAAGTTGTCTTGAAAGCATCATAAATCCAGAGAATGCCAGACTTTGATGACAAAGTTCGATGACAAAATTTGCCCACGAAGGACTGCCACGCCACCTTTCTGCACAAGTGAGCACAGCACAACAAGGTGAGTCCAAAAATGTCTTGTATGCTGCTGCATATTTTATTTTTTATTTTTGTATTTAACCTTTATTTAACCTTTATTTAACATAAATGATGTAATATGCCAGGGAGATATGTATACTGTAGTTAAGAAAGTAATACTAAGTGTATGTTGTGTAGTAAGCTGTTAGTAGCCCATGTGCCTCACTCTAATAATTTAGTCCCTTTGCCCTCATAATTTAGCCTACTTGGTGGTGCACATGTAGCCTATAGCCTGTTTTAGAGAAATGTAATCATAGAATATTGTAAGAGCTTTCATTGTCTGCTTATATGCCCCCTTTATTTATCCTACGGTTCTGACTTGGTGTACAGGGAGAATACTGTAAGAACGGCCCATGTTCTGAATTTTTTCACTGTACATTTCAAAGTGCTGAACAAATAGTTATATTGACTACGTCCATCCTAGCTTGCTCATTAATGTCTTAATCCAAATTACGGATTGCCTCTTATCCGCTCGTCGTCCCCTTATGCCATAGTTTGTACATCTCAATTGTCAGTAGAAACCACATTTGTTTTAGCAAGTCAGCCGTATCAGCGATGTTTTTTTTAAGGCAGTAAATGAGGCTAAATGAACTGTTTCGCTGCCAGACAAGGCTCCGATGACAGCCAGGTGTAGCAGTGGTAAGGATTCACTCTGTGGTGCTGAAAATAAATCTCTGCTGTTGGGACAGCTTTATGTAGGCCCTAACAGTTTGTGGGTACTGTTTGTCACCGTTATAGTGCAATTAATGTATTGTTTAGTGTTGTGTTGTGTAGTGGCTTTGCTGGCATGTATCTAAAATACTTTTGGGGAGTTTGCCCCACCAAGATTTCCATGCTAAAATCACCACTGGTGATAAATAATCGACATAAGGAACAAACAGCTAAGGGAATCCATATGTTTGTTTGTTTTTAATCAATGATATAGCCTAGTTAAAAAATATAATTATTACTATATTTATTTCACTGGCCCAAGCGGGCCACTGATGGGGATGCTCGACTGGGCCGGAGGGTTTCCAAAACCTCCCCGGGCCAGCAGGCAGCCCTGTATGTCGAACCCTGTTAAGAGAATAACACTGATACACATACCTAGGCTGGCAATTGTAAGTGAGATGGACTCACTCTATCTGTTGGGTGTCTGAGCCCTCCAGAGTGGCTCCACTCTTCAGCCAGCTGAGGTGGGGTGTGGGTGTCCCTGTCACTCTGCACTCCAGAGTCAGCTCATCGCCCACTGGGGCACTCAGGTCAGATGGATGGCCAGAGTCCAGGATTGTGGGCGACACTGAAACAAAAGATCAGCACTATGACTCACAACACTGACTCATAGTAGAAAAGAGGCCATGCAAAAGGTCTGTGATTCTCTTCACAAAATGTTATTCTCTTGGGTGTAATCTAAGTTACAGTGTGTGGGACAGTGGAGGCTCCTCGGAGGAGGAAGGGGAGGACCATCCTCCTCAGTGAATAAAAATAAAAATAGTGAAACATTAAAAAAGTTATCCTTTTAGATAAAACTATACTAAATATATTCACGTCACCAAATAATTGATTAAAACACACTGTTTTGCACTGATGGTCTACAGTAGCCTCAACAGCACTCTGTAGGGTAGCACCATGGTGTAGCCGGAGGACAGCTAGCTTCCGTCCTCCTCTGGGTACATTGACTTCAATACAAAACCAAGAAGGCTCATGGTTCTCACCCGCGTCTATAGACTTACACAGCAATTATGACAACCTCCAACCTATCAGAGCTCTTGCAGCATGGACTGACATGTTCTCCACACAATCAAAGGATCAGAGAATGACTCTAGTACTGAATGCATAAGCTACAGCTAGCTAGCACTGCAGTGCATAAAATGTGGTGAGTAGTTGACTCAAAGAGAGAGAAAGACAATAGTTGAACAGTTTTGAACAAATTAAGCTCTTAATAAAATGGAGGTGCGAGAGAGAGAAAGAGAGAGAGAGAGAGAGAGAATGAGAGAGAGAGAGAGAGAGAGAGAGAGAGAGAGAGAGAGAGAGAGAGAGAGAGAGAGAGAGAGAGAGAGAGAGAGAGAGAGAGAGAGAGAGAGAGAGAGAGCTTGCTACAGTTGAATTCGGAAGTTTACATACACTTAGGTTGGAGTCATTAAAACTCGTTCTTCAACCACTCCACAAATGTCTTGTTAACAAACTATAGTTTTGGCAAGTCGGTTAGGACATCTACTTTGTGCATGACAAAAGTAATTTTTCCAACAATTGTTTACAGACAGATTATTTCACTTATAATTCACCGTATCACAATTCTAGTGGGTCAGAAGTTTACATACACTCAATTGACTGTGCCTTTAAACAGCTTGGAAAATTCCAGAAAATTATGTCATGGCTTTAGAAGCTTCTGATAGGCTAATTGACATCATTTGAGTCAATTGGAGGTGTACCTGTGGATGTATTTCAAGGCCTACCTTCAAACTCAGTGCCTCTTTGCTTGACATCATGGGAAAATCAAAAGAAATCAGCCAAGACCTCAGAATGTGTAGACCTCCACAAGTCTGGTTCATCCTTGGGAGCAATTTCCAAATGCCTGAAGGTACCACGTTCATCTGTACAAACAATAGTACGCAAGTATATACACCATGGGACCACGCAGCCGTCATACCGCTCAGGAAGGAGACGCGTTCTGTCTCCTAGAGATTAACGTACCTTGGTGCGAAAAGTGCAAATCAATCCTAGAACAACAGCAAAGGACCTTGTGAAGATGCTGGAGGAAACAGGTACAAAAGTATCTATATCCACAGTAAAGCGAGTCCTATATCAACATAACCTGAAAAGCCGCTCAGCAATGAAGAAGCCACTGCTCCAAAACCGCCATAAAACAGCCAAACTACGGTTTGCAACTGCACATGGGGACAAAGATCGTACTTTTTGGAGAAATGTCCTCTGGCTGTTGAAACAAAAATAGAACTGTTTGGCCATAATGACCATTGTTATGTTTGGAGGAAAAAAGGGTTGACTTGCAAGCCGAAGAACACCATCCCAACTGTGAAGCACGGGGGTGGCAGCATCATGCTGTGGGGGTGCTTTGCTGCAGGAGGGACTGGTGCACTTCACAAAATAGATGGCATCATGAGGAAGGAAGATTATGTGGATATATTGAAGCAACATCTCAAGACATCAGTCAGGAAGTTAAAGCTTGGTCGCAAATGGGTCTTCCAAATGGACAATGACCCCAAGCATACTTCCAAAGTTGTGGCAAAATGGCTTAAGGACAACAAAGTCAAGGTATTGGAGTGGCCATCACAAAGCCCTGACCTCAATCCTAAAGAAAATTTGATGGCAGAACTGAAAAAGCATTTTCGAGCAAGGAGGCCTACAAACCTGACTCAGTTACACCAGCTCTGTCAGGAGGAATGGGCCAAAATTCACCCAACTTATTGTGGGAAGCTTGTGGAAGGCTACCCGAAACGTTTGACCCAAGTTAAACAATTTAAAGGCAATGCTACCAAATACTAATTGAGTGTATGTAAACTTCTGACCCACTGGGAATGTGATGAAAGAAATAAAAGCTGAAATAAATCATTCTCTCTACTATTATTCTGACATTTCACATTCTTAAAATAAAGTAGTGATCCTAACTGACCTAAGACAGGGAATTTTTACTAGGATTAAATGTCAGGAATTGTGAAAAACTGAGTTTAAATGTATTTGGCTAAGGTGTATGTAAACTTCCGACTTCAACTGTATATTTCTACATTAAAAAAAAAAAAAAACTTTCACTTTCATTTACTTAGGTAGCAAATGCAGCTAGCTAGTTTAGCCTACTCAAACACCCGGCTCAAACAGAGAGGCATACTATGTTAGCTAGCTGGCTATGTCTATCCAACACTGGAACTCTTCCAAGTCAAGGTAAGCTTTTGGTTTTACTAATTTATTGCCACCGGGGCACGCCCGTGTAACTTCTAATTGCTTACTGACTGTACTGCATGATTGTAGTGGGTTTACTAATGCGTTAGTTCTATTAGCTACAGTGGGGAAAAATAAATACTTATTTTCCACCATAATTTGCAAATAAATTCATAAAAAATCCTACAATGTGATTTTCTGGATTATTTTTCCTCATTTTGTCTGTCATAGTTGACGTGTACCTATGATGAAAATTACAGGCCTCTCTCATCTTTTTAAGTGGGAGAACTTGCACAATTGGTGGCTGACTAAATACTTTTTTTCCCCACTGTATGTTGACTATGACGTTACTTTAGCTAATATGGTGACAACAATGTAGGCTGTGTGTATCTGTTATGATATAAAGGTTTGGCTTGAAAAGGTTTTTTCGCCTGGTCACAGACAGCTGATGTGTTGTGCATTGAAGTCTACAAGCGAAGGGAAAAGGTGAGATGAGTAGAGCGCGTAGATATGAGAAGGAATACAACAAGTTGTTTGTATCTGGCTATGAAAGTGAACTGTCTGCGTGTGATCAGTGGTGTATTCATTCCGCCGATTCTGTTGAAAAATGTTTCTTAAACGGAAGCAAACGGAATGAAACGGGGATAAACATACCTGAATTTGTCCAATAGTAACTCTCGTTTGCAACTGTTGGACTAATGATTACAACTTAGATCAGCTAGATGCGGGCAGGAGTGTGCAAGGCATTATTGAATGTGTTACTGTCTGTCCATGTGTCACTGTCTGTCACCTCAAATCTTTCTCTCGACCTGTGTGCACCTACATTGTAAACTTTCATTCATAGGCTAGTGTCACGCCCTGACTCAGGGGACGGTTATTTGTTGAGTCAGGGTGTGTATATTTCGTGTTGTGTTTATTTCTATGTTTAGTTTCTAGATCGTTTAGATCTATGTTGGCCAGGGTGGTTCCCAATTAGAGGCAGTTGTAGCTCGTTGTCTCTGATTGGGGACCATACTTAGGCAGCCGTTTGGCACCAGTCAGTTGTGGGATCTTGTTCCGTAAAGGTATGTTATTTGTCTACCTTGGACTTCACGTTTCGTTTGTTATTTTGTCGTGTGTTCAGTACGGAAATAAATATGAATGCATATCACGCTGCGCCTTGGTCCTTCTCGTTAATGAACGATCGTGACAGCTAGGTTGTAGCAACCTCATGATGGGTATAGGGAAACTTAGAGTATCATGTTGTAGCCTAAATCTATCGATGTTACATTGAACTGGGTGAATGGAATATGAATGACAGTCATCCAATATGCTGTAATAGAAATAAGGCCATGCTCATAAATAAAAATCAACCTCCCTCATCTTAAACGGCACCGACTGCCACTGTTGTGGGAGATTCTGTAGTCTACCTTGCACTGTGAGAGCGTAGTCCTTCTGAGTCTGTCCCTCCCTGTTCTTGGCCACACAGGTATAGGTCCCAGCGTGAGAGAGGGTCAGAGGACCCAACTCCAGCGTGTTGCCTCGTACTGACCACTGCCACTGCAGACTGCTCTCTGGGAAAGAAATAACAACACAGGTCAGGCTAAACCAGCAGCTGGAGGTCTCATTCATTAAAATGCATTAATACAAGTGTCAAAATGTGATCTTGTCAAAACTGAATTTGTCACAGTTCATTTATAAAACTTCAGCCTCGTACCAATAGGGGTGCCATCCTTCAGCCAGGTAATACTGGGTACTGGGACCCCTGTAGCCTCACATAGCAAGGTGACATGGGAGCCCAGGTTTTGGGTGAAGGACTCATGAAGAGGTCCATCCAGGACAGGGGGCACTAAGGAGGAGAACAGAATAGAAAGAATGAGATGTATTATACTGTGACATCTGATATGCCAGTATAACCATATGTAAGAAACAACAAATCTATTGGCGGTTACATGGGAGGCAAGTCTCACCATGAACAGTCAAGCGGAAGGTCCTGTCCACCTGTCCAGCCACATTGGACACCTTGCAGATGTACATTCCTCCATCAGCCACCTATGGACCACGAACCATAGTCAGCATGAAACAGAACAACACTCTATAAGCACTTTGATGCTTAAAACAGGGTTAATCTCATGCCCTCAGTTATTTATCCAGAGCGACTTACAAAAAAGTTATCAGTGCTAACGCTTCTAAAACAGTTAGGATAGCAACAACTGAAGGTGATGACAGTGTGTTTACCTGCACTCCCATGATCTCTAGCTGATGCTGCTCCACCTTCAGTCCAGTCCTAGCTGCCAGCTGCAGCCCGTTCCTGTACCATGTGACCTCAGGCGCCGGAATGCCCCGAGCTTCACAGCGTAGAGTGACAGATGACCCCACCTGAGGGGTCAGGACCTCTGACTCAGAGTCAAGGCGGGGGTTCAGCATGGGCAGGACTGTAAACCCAAGGCAGGAATAAAATAGCCAATATTTAAGTGCTAATCCAGATATTGTAGCAGGTGAAGTGTGACACTGATGAGGGCAGCACAGTACTATAATGTTTCTCACCGTAGACACTGAGCAGGATGCTCTTCTGGTCCTGGCCTGCTGAGTTGGTGGCAGTGCACACGTACTGTCCTGCATCCTCTAGTCTGGCCCGGGGCAGCTGCAGCATCTGACCTCCTACAGTACAGACAACAATACATAGTTCAGAATGCATAGTTTATGTTCAGTGAATTCATCAGAATGACAGTACAGTAAACCAGATGGCAGGTATCAGAGGAAGTCAGCAGAGAACAGCAGAAAGACAGTAGACAGTAGGCAAATCACAGACAAAATGCATTGTGAATTGCTATGTGTTTATTGTGTATGGTTGGATTGAGTACACAGTGAGTTATGGAGTGTGTTATGGGCTCTGGGCAGTGTGTTCAGGAGCCAGCTCTGACCTGGCAGGATGTGGATGCCTGTGCTGAACTGGAGGACCTGTCCGTCTCTGGTCCATGTGATCTCTGGAGGAGGGTACGCCTGGACGTCACACAGCAGGGACACCATGTGACCCTCGATCACACTCACCTCCTCCTCCCTGCCAGCTACCATCCTTGGGGGAACTGGAGAGGAACAGGAATATATCAGCTCACACTCAGCTAACACTTACACACATTCACAGGATATCTCTGTCCTTCCTGTGTGAATTGAAGGAACCCGCTTGATGTGGTATTTTAATAGATGTTTGTACTTGTGGGCTCCATCTCACCTTGCACAGTCAGACTGAAAAGCTTTTCCACTGCTCCAACCTTGTTCTCAGCCACACAAACATAGCCGGCCATGTCTGACACCTGCACACTGAGGATCTGAAAGACAGAATAATTAATAACATAACATTATAGACCTGCACCCTGAGACAGAGAGCTGTATATTGATCACATTAGTGACACCAGCGCAGGACAGGGGCCATTCTATTCCAAGTGAAGCCCTGATACTGTAATAGGCAGTGCAGTGCTTTGGTCTATGGGATTCTGACCTGTAGTTGTCTCCCGTCCTCACTGATGATGTGGTGTTGTCCGGAGGGCAGCGGTGTGCCGTCCCTCAGCCAGGAGATGGCTGGTGCTGGGTGACCTGTCACGTCACAGTGGAGAGCTACGGTACTGTTCACCACCGCTCCTATCTCCTCCATGAACTCATCCAACTGGCCCGTTATCACTGGGGGGACTGGGCAAACAGGACGCCAACAGAGAAAAACATTAGGAAATGACAACAACGTTTTCCAGGTTTAGGCATTAAGGCTTTTGACAGTATGAGGACCATAATTGAATAATAAGAATGACAGAATGACAGGGAGTAGTAACAAAGCGTGCCTACCCAGCACCTCCAGGTCAAAGTGCATGCGGTCCTCCCCTGCCTCGTTCACCGCCTGACACGTATATTTCCCAGCATCCTCCTGCTGGACCCGTGGAATCTGGAGTACCTGCCCACCTAGAGGACAACATAACAGAGCATCCTATTGGATCACAGTGGAGCTGATGCTGCAGTAATGCCATACTGGTAGTTGTACCGGTTGGATATCGTAGACCTAGACCTAGAGGGCATGGACCCCCTCTCACCTGGCAGCAGTACCACTCCATCAGCGGTGGAGAGCTTGCGTCCCTCTCTGTACCAGCTGAGACGGGGCGGGGGGATGGCGTTACTCTCACAGGACAGGCTGATGGAATGCCCCAGGACCACCTCCCTTCTCTCTGTCATCTCATCATCTCTGTCCCCTCCCTCTTCCTCCTCTCCTCCCAGACCCCAGGCTGCTGCACCGTTACTCACCCGATGGAAGATGGGAGGAACTGGAGAGAGAGAGAGAGAACGAATGTTCAGTTAGTATCACAAGAGTGCAGTGAGATTAGGTTGCATAGTGTGAATGAACTAATTTTGCCAAAGGCAGACAGTTTGAATCCCATACGTGGACACTCACCCTGAATAGTGACGTGGAAGTCTCTCTTGTCCTCTCCTGCAGTGTTGATGACCACACAGGTGTATTGTCCCTCATGGGAGAGCATGGCATTGTCTATGTGAAGAAGGCGACCACTCTCACGGATACCAGTGTGAGAGTTCCTAGTCAACAACTAGAAACAGCAACAACAACAAAAATATATATTCTAATAAGCAGAAATAGACATCTATGACGCTAAATGAACTTATGTGAAATACAGTAGCTAGATAGAAACACAAACCAACCTGTCCATCTTTGAACCACTCGGTCTTGGGTTCAGGGAAGCCTTTAGCCAGACAGGACAGGGTTAATGAGCCGTTGATCCGGACTTTCTCATCTTGGCCGCCGAAACTCAGAGATGTAGAGTCCCCTTCAATCTGCGGTGGAACTGATCAAATCAAACAGGCAGTCAAAATCCTCTCCTGTATTTACATTGAATTATAATGATGTTAGACTACTGTTAATTACATACACCAGAATCAACCCTCTCCTTGTCTGGTTCCCTTACCCAGCACACTGAGTGAGTAGTGTTTAAGAGTGGTGCCTGCAGGGTTTGAGGCTCGGCAGGTGTAGAGACCGGCACTGTCTCCCTGTGCTGCCCCCAGCCGCAGCGCCTGCCCACCCCGGGTGTAGGTGAGCTGCGCACTGGACACGATGGGCTGGTTGTCCTTCAGCCAGGTGATACTGGGCATGGGAGAACCTTCTACATCACAGGGCAGAACTGTGGGGAAACCCAACACCACAGACACCTCTGAGGTCTCACTGGGGCCCCTGATGGTGGGAGGAGCTGGAAAAACAGGAGGAGAGAGGATGAGAGTGAGAAGAGAGAAAGGTGACTTTCTCAAGTTATTCTGTAGTATAGAAGGTGAATCTGCTTCATTGATAAACATTGTGATTATTTCTGATATGCAGAAGGAAGTTTGTGTTGTTAGAATGAGGATATTGAGAAGGAAACATGAGAGAGGGAACAGTACCTTGCACAGTGAGTCTGAACTGGCGCATCTGTGTCCCAGCGCTGTTACTGGCCAGACACTGGTACAAGCCCTGGTCCCTCAGTCTGACTGCCTTCACCTTCATCACCTGGCCTTGCTCATGGAATTCCACATGGGGGTCCCCATCCTTGGACAGCACCCTGGAGAGGAGGGAAAGGGATCAGTACTCCAAAGCCTGACAGTGTATTGACTAGGCTAATCCACAGACAAAAAGTTATATCTGACACATGATGTATGTACAGATGTAGGATCTTAATTTGAGCGACTTTGCTACAGCAGGAAAATAATCCTGCAGCAACAGGAAATGTGTATTATTATGTGGATTATAATTAATGGGCATTTTTGTTGGGTCTGATACATTTTTATTTTGGGCAAATCAAGTCTGAAATTTCAAAGTGGAAATTACAAACTTTAGAAGCCTTTTAAAAACTGAAATACACTACAAGTTTGCATTTCCTCCATGCAGGAAAATTATCAGCAACAAAAGAGTGATCATATTGACATCCTACATCTGTATATGAGTGTGAATAAACAATTGAATGAGATGGGTAGTAGCTATATGGACAAGTGTCAATGTTAGGGAAGACTCACTCTCCATCCCGGCTCCATTCCACTTTGGGGGCTGGGCGCCCACTGACCCGACACTGGAACTCCACCTCCTGTCCTGACACCACTGACAGGTCCTGCACCCTGGACATCCCCGCGATCACTGGTGGGGCTGACTCACGCACACACACACACACACACACACACACACACACACACACACACAAACACACACACACACATAGAGAAGTTAGGCCATGATAGGATGCAACTCAAACTTAGACCTGGAATTGCTAACATATACTTAAGTATCAAAAGTAAAAGTATAAATCATTTCAAGTTCCTTATATTAAGTAAACCAGACAGCACCATTTTATTGTTTTTAAAATTGACGGATAGCCAGAGGCACACTCCAACACTCAGACATAATTTACAAGTGAAGCATGTGTGTTTAGTGAGTCCGCCAGATCAGAGGCAGTAGGGATGACCAGGGATGTTCTCTTGATAAGTGCGTGAATTTGGCAATTTTTTTGTCCTGCTAAGCATTCAAAATGTACTTTTGGGTGTCAGGGAAAATGTATGGAGTAAAAACTACATTATTTTCTTTAGGAATGTAGTGAGGTAAAAGGAAAAGTTGTCAAAAATATACATAGTAAAGTAGAGTACAGATATAAAGAAAAACGACTTAAGTAGTACTTTAAAGTATTTTTACTTAAGTACTTTACACAACTGACTTTAAATGTAAAATCAATGGGACAGGTAGGACCCCAACTTGATTTTAAGCACTATGAAGGCTCACCTTGTACAACAATGTTGTAGTCCTTTCGGGCCTGCCCGGCTGTGTTACTAGCTGTGCAGCTGAACTGGCCACCGTGCTCTGTCTGGACCCGGTAGATTCTAAGAAGTCTCTTCCCATTCTGTAGATACACTCCAGGGGAGTCCACCACCTATACGCAGCCAGACATACATTGTAAGTGCTTGTTACTGTATGATCAATATTGGACTGTGATAATCTAAATGACCACTTGGTGACACTGTGTTGCTAGATACAAATAACATGGTTGTCATCGACAGGTATCAGTAGAAGTATGGTCACCCATACAACCTAAACGTAAAAAAAAAAAAAAAAAAAAAATTTAAGACGTGTATTTGAATGTCTGGTAGGTGACTCACATTCTGCCCGTCTTTAGTCCAGGTGATTGTGGGGGAGGGGATACCAATGACATCACAGCCCAGAGTGAGGGGCTGCTTCAGGGTGACAGTCAGGTTCAGGGGCTGTCCATCATCCTGGAACTCAGGGGGAACTGGAGGAGTACGGGAGACAGACATCATCTAGAAGTCCCCTTGTTAAGACATTTTATTGTTATCTGAACTGACATCAGTTCTGGATAAAGATGGAGTTGATAAGGTCTCACCATGCACTTTCAGCCGGGTCTTCCGCTCAACAGAGCCTGCATCATTGCTGGCCACACATGTGAAGTCCCCGCTGTGACTGGCAGATGCTGAACCAATCACAAGAGAGCCGTCGTGTGCCACAGAGAGCTCTGATTGGTCAGGGTGTATCTCCAGGCCGTTCTTGAACCAGCGTACCTTGGGAGGAGGTGAGCCTGCCGGTGTAAAGATAACAGAGAGGGTGGTGACAGAAATAAAAGTTACTTCTGTCTGCGCCCCCCTACAGGAGGGCTGAATGGGAAAGTGTCCCAGACTGGAAAAAGCAGGCCCTACATTTATCTGTTGGACAGCAGGACAGATAGAGATTGACAGCCCTATCGGTGGGCTGGGATACTTCAAGGTTAGAAAGTAGCACATAAACGGCAAACACAATATATTGGTAGATGCCTGATTTAAAGTGTTAGTGTCGTGATTTACTACCAGAATCATAGCTTGAGGACCCTGGACAGTAAGAATAGTGGTTGGGCCAGAAGTTCTAAGCCTTGATGTGATGTATAGGCATCTGAAACAGATGTGTTTGGAGCTTTACAATGGGGAAAAGGGCCGGGAGCAGGGGAAGGAGTCTGGGATGGAGTTAGAGGTGGAGCAAGGGACGGAGTGGGGTTAGGAGGGCGCACCTGTACCCGATATAACCCAGTCTGAGGTCTCTCTTAGTAAATAGGACAGGACATACATCGCAGTGTGGACATCCAGTCCAGCTTTTTGCATTAAGAGCAGAGAAGGAAGTAAATCCCTGTCCCATCTCTATTTACAGAACATATCCAAACACCAGAGAGAGAGAAGGCTGTACTGGAAACTAAACACATATTTCATCCCCCGTCCAAATACTAAGGGGACAGAGAGGAACCACAGAGAGGAACCAAAGGTAATGTTTTCACCTGGTCCCACGCGGAGCACATGTTTACACGTTAGAGCACTGACTCAAATGTATAATCTCATTGCTGGGAAGAAATGCATACAGATGTTCTGTTTAGATGTAAAAATATCTAATTAAAACCTGTTTCTTGTATTTATCTGCATGAGTTAACTACGCTTCCTTCGATTATCTCTTTCATGTGTATTTTTAAACAAGTACTTCCACTATTACGAGGCATTAAGTGTTCCTGTTGGTAAAACATAATAATTTCCTGATGGCAGAATCTCCTTTCATCTTGCCATCCAACATTCACACAGACAGACACATTTCTATGATACAATGGGGGATGAAAAAGCTATTGTTTCCTAGTTTCCTTGGCCAGACTCCTAGTGCTGCTGCCTGGAGCTGTGGCTGCCAGTGAGCATCGCTGTGAGGGCCCTGTAACAGTGACAGTGTGGGCTCTACAGGGAGGCCCAGTGGAGCCAGCCTCCTCAGTGGAAGAGCACCCCAGACATCTCTGTCCATTATCTGGCAGCAGCAGCCTGTAATTAGGATTCCTCTCCCAGCAGGCCCCCTCGCAGAGTGGAGAGGAAAGCAGATGTGGCCCGCTGAGGCAGCAGGCAGAATGATGTTCCAGCTGTTGTTGTGTCCGCATTAGCCTACTCCTCACCTTCTCAAACATGCCCCGTTACCATGGCACGGCTCCATACAAACAACACCTATTTAAATGCCCTGTCAACAAGAAGCTCAATGGGCCCACGCATAAGAAAGAATGCACACACACACACATACACACACACACACATACACCCTTTCTCAGCCATTTTGTGTGCTACCTCCCCCTTTGCCTAGATGCTAAAATAGAGACAGAAACAGTATACACATTAATCAAAGCACACCATTAGGATAGCAGGGGTATTGAAACACACATTTGTTTCCACCGACAAATGAAAGCCTCTGGAGATAGCAGAGCAATGCTTTGAAGGTAACTAGATAAGTCCACACCTTTGTCCTACATTTCATATGGAGCTAGCTTTGGGAATGATGAAACAAAACGGTTTCATCTAAACATACCTGAAAAAAGATTCACCGGATCTGTTTGCTTTGGTCAGGCTGTGTTTATTGTGTGTTTTGTCTGACACCAGACTTACACTGTATTTTTCCCTCTATCACGTATCTGTTTCCCGGAAAACTGACATACTGTACATCATAAATCTTATCCTACCTTCAGCAGGGCAGGGAATGGTGACCTTGCTGTTAGCCACTTTGTCCATGATGGCATCTCCAGCCTCTGCGAAGGACGGGGCCTCTGTGGAACCGATAAAGGATATAGCATTATGACAGCATAGGGAATAAGATACACTATATGACCAAAGGTATGTGGACACCTGCTAGTCGAACATCTCATTCCAAAATCATGGGCATTAATATGGAGTTGGTGCCCCCTTTGCTGCTATAACAGCCTCCACTCTTCTGGGAAGGCTTTCCACTAGATGTTGGAACATTGCTGCGGGGACTTGCTTCCATTCAGCCGCAAGAGCATTAGTGAGGTCGAGCACTGATGTTGGGCGATTAGGACTTGCTCGCAGTCAGGGTTCCAATTCATCCCAAAGGTGTTCGATGGGGTTGAGATCAGGGCTCTGTGCAGGCCAGTCAAGTTCTTCCACACCAATCTTGACAAACCATTGCTGTATGGACCTCGCTTTGTGCACAGGGGCATTGTCATGCTGAAACAGGAAAGGGCCTTCCCCAAACTGTTGCCACAAAGTTGGAAGCACAGAATCGTCTAGAATGTAATTGGATGTTGTAGCGTTAAGATTTCCCTTCACTGGAACTAAGGGGCCTGAACCATGAAAAACAGCCCCAGACCATTATTCCTCCTCCACCAAACTTTACAGTTGGCACTATGCATTGGGGCAGGTAGCATTCTCCTGGCATCCGGCAAACCCAGATTCAAACACGTTTCCACTGCTCCAGAGTCCAATGGCGGCGAGCTTTACACCACTCCAGCCAACTCTTGGCATTGCACATGGTGATCTTAGGCTTGTGTGCGGCTGCTCGGCCATGGAAACCCATTTCATGAAGCTCCCGACGAACAGTTATTGTGCTGACATTGCTTCCAGAGGCAGTTTGGAATTTGGTAGTGAGTGTTGCAACCGAGGACAGATTATTTTTACGCGCTACGCGCTTCAGCACTCGCCGGTCCCGTTCTGTGAGCTTGTGTGGCCTACCACTTTGCAGCTGAGCCGTTGTTGCTCCTAGACGTTTCCTTTTCACAATAACAGCACTTACAGTTGACTGGGGAAGCTCTAGCAGGGCAGAAATATGAAGAACTGACTTATTGGAAAGGTGGCATCCTATGACGGTGCCACATTGAAAGTCACTGAGTTCTTCAGTTAGGCCATTCTACTGCCAAAGTTTGTCTATGGAGATTGCATGGCTGTGTGCTAGATTTTATACACCTGTCACCAACGGGTGTGGCTGAAATAGCCGAATCCACTAATTTGAAGGGTGTCCATATACTTTTGTATATATAGTGTAAAGTGTTTATTTAGCATCATGAGTTATGTACATTCTACTGTAAATCATAAGTGTAAAAGTTAGGTTGAGATCTTTACAAGATTTAGGCTTAGTTTTCGTTTGAAGGTTCCGCTAGAGTAGCATTAGGGTAAGACACTGTGAGGGTTAATCCTAGGTGTGGGGTGAAGATGTTGTGCTATTGGCCTGTGACAATGTGGGTCATGTCTCCTATACCCTCTACTCACTCGTTAACCTCCAGTTCTGGCTTCCTCTAATCCTTCCCTCAGCTAACTTTGACCTCTAAGGTCAAAGAGCACCTCAATCAACCCCCTAACACTAACAGACTGATCCATGCACTGGTCAACTAGAATGGGGTTTATAGGGCTGCTTGCAATCTGACCATATGGTGCTGCTTCCAGAGAAAGCACCTCTAAAGACTACTGTCCTTGTCTATTCTGTCTTTAAACTGGGACAGAGTTTGCTCTCATGTAGTGCTGAGCGATTAGTGCTTTTTGAGGTCGATTCGGTTTCGGTTCCATTATATTTTCGATTTCGGTTTTGATATATTTTTTAAACATTAAGCAGTATGCATTATGTTGGTTGAATGCTGTAACAACACAGAACAAAACAATTAATACAAGTCCATGATGTTAGGTACTGCTTACCACTTAGACCTATTAACCATCATTTATTCACATTACATTACTTTACTTTATTTCAATTGTTGTGTATATTACGTTTGTTTTATTTGATGACTTTATTATTTCATTCAAAGTAATCATCTCTCTATAGAGCTGCTGTCTATACTGTCTGACAAAATCACTATTTTAGTAGTTCTTCAAAGTAAATAAGTCATACTTTTATGACTGCTGAATACCATCTATCAATCACTTAGATCATGTATTTCCAGGTAGAGATACGTCGCGAAGCAACTGTTCTCTATCTCTCTCGATCGTGCATTCTACTGTCTCTTTCTTTTATGTAGCAGGCATAAAAGAAACACAGACCTGACAAGTAGGTGCGCAATGGATTTTGGTCATTGTAGTTAATTACCACGTTTTCTGCGCTAAATTATCTAGAATATTGGCCTGTTGGAAACTACAACTCCCTACTACATCACACAGTTCGGGCTTTATTTGATTTATCTCTAGAGAAACTGTGCAATGTGTGCATTGAGCTCACAGAAAAAAAAAATGTAATTCAAATAATTGAACCGAAGTCAGTCAATTAGTTGTTTAAATGTTGGTTAACATCAGTATGAAAATGTATGCACTCACTAACTGTAAGTCACTCTGGATAAGAGTGTCTGCTAAATGACTAAAATGTAAAAATGTTAATCGCTCAGCACTACTCTCACGTAAACCTTGAGGTATCTGCTCTACGTATACTATTACAGTTCTTGCTGTGTGAACTTCTTTCACCATGTAATGGTTTGGCTCAGTTAGTTTTCAGTGCTAATGGTAAGGGGTGTTATCAGTTGACGAAAGGATACATGGTTGTAAAGTATTGGGAAAGAGAAAAGCTGCATCACATTGATTAATCAGATCCCTCAAGTTAGAGACTCACCTAGCACCTCCAGTTTGACCTCCATGGTGTCCTGTCCAGCAGTGTTCTTGGCCACACAGCTGTAGGTGCCCTGGTCTGTGAGGCTGGCCCTGTGGATCCTGAGGGCTGCAGTGTCCCTGGCCCCGACAGGACGTCCGTTGTGGAACCAGCTGATCTCAGGGCTGGGCTCTCCCTGAACCACACATGGCAGAACCACTGTCTGGCCTATCAGAGCCTTCAGCAGGGACGGAGCTGTCTGGATCTTGGGCTTAGCTGGGAAACGAACAAACAAGGTTTGTTTCTCATGATATCTATTTGCCTGTTTAGCATATTGGGTCTTAGATGCATGACAGCATCTTGAACAGTGAAGTGAAACAGGTTCTCAGATTTTAAGTTCACGTAGTACCTACAAAGTGACTATCCATAAGGAGGTACCTTGTATGTGTAAATTGTAGTTGATGGACACGTTGCCTGCTGGGTTTTTTGCCGAGCATGTGTAAAGTTTACTATCAACCAGTTGGACATCAGTGATCTTCAGAGAGCCAGAAGGCAGCACGGTGAACCTGGACATGGAAAGAGGTCAGAGGTCAGGCTGGGGATAACACTGTCAGGAGTCACACTGAATATCTGCAACCCTGTTTGTGTTTTTGTGAATATATGCGAGTGTGTGTGTGTGTACACGTGTGCGTGCATGCCTGTGTAGTTCTGGCTGTTATAATACCATTGATATTGCATAATAGTAACTAAACTTCTCAACTGAACTGAAATCCCCAGCAGAATGTCATAACTATATTTGCTTTAACCTACCCAGCTGCAGAAATTGATAATATGCACAAATGTAAACAGTGCTGTGAGATTTATCTGGGATAAGTGTGTCTGCTAAGCAACTAAAATGTAGTTCGCTTAAGTGGAAAGGATCTGGAACCACAAAGACTCCTCTTCAACACTGCACATGTTGCCGTAACGCTCTGCCCCCCTACTGCTTCAAATCCAACCAGTAGCATACATCATTGAAACGGAATGACTGGCTCAGCAGTCAGTCTCTAAGTCACCTTAGCAGAGAGCAGGGAGCCGAGCACACACTGGAGACATGGACCCAACACACAGCCCCATCCATCTCCCCACATCACTCCCCACTGTGGTGTACACTCATCTGTGTCCACAGGCTGACTGGAACAAATTGGGCTAGAGAGGTCTGAGTGCAGCTCCCCAGCCTCCCTAACTGACACAGTGTGGGCTAGTGCTCCTCTCCTCTCCAGCTGTGCTAGCTCTCTCTGTCTGCAGTGTTGGGGCCTGTGGTGGAGGAGGTGGAAGAGAACAGGGCAACGGCAGCAGACACTCAGAACACCCACTGACTGAGTTATTCCAACAATCAGCTCCCCCATGCTCATACCGGCTGGGCCAGGGGATGGGGGGTAAATAGACTCCCTGATGGAGAGAATGCATCTGTCTGCTCCAGTAGCTGAAGGCAAAGGGGGTTGTTGGTGGACGTGTGTTATTCTCATCAGACAGCCAGGGCTGGTAGAGAGTAAAGAGTCAACATGCTCTTTTATGGCAAGAGATCCACAGGGGAACCAAATATCAAACAGGCTTTATTTCTGTCTCTTCTTCCGTCAGTGTTCCTCCCTTCTTCCTGTCAGCACACCCCTCCGCCTCTCCTCCCCCTCTCCTCCCTCCCTCCTTCCTGGCCCCACATGAATCATCCTCATTCTACCACAACCACAGCTTTCAACACTGTCGCTCAGTTCCTCCAGAAACATAGGGACTGGTCATTGCCAGTAAGTCTCCAGTCTGTGCCCTACAGACAGACACCACCAGACAGTGAAGTCTGTACCGAGCGACCATAGACCCAGGCATGTGTGGAACCAGATGTTATTCCTCAGAGAAGTTGTTATGCCTCAACCGTTAATGGCTGCTTTGGATAGCAGCCGGCTTCAATCAACATCCCTTGTAAAAGGAGTTGGTTAGTTAAGTCAGAGGTAAGGTAATCGCCTTGGTATGGTGAGAAACTTGCCCTTTATTGCCTATTTACCATTTTCACTGCTACATTCTTATGTGATCAGTACTTGGAGATGGGACTTCCTCTTACCAGGCAGTGACTGGAGGGATGGGCTGGCCGTTCCTGCTCCATGTGACCAGGGGAGAGGGCCTGCCCTGGACCTCACAGGGGAGGATGACCTCAGAGCCCACCTCGGCAGCCATCTTAACTGTGTTCTCCTGACTGCTCACACCTACGATCTTAGGCTTGGCTGGGGAAAAAGTAAACATTATATATTTTACACTGTACTTCCTCTATCAATGAAACACTTTGAAGAGAGACCATTAACACTGGACAGCCTTTGCAGAAAGTACATTTGCAGTTCTTACTGTTGACACTAAGCTGGATCTCACGGCTGGCGTAGCCCACTGCACTGGTGGCTGTGCAGATATATATGCCTGCATCCTCTGCAGTGGGGTTGAGGATGTGGAGGTAACCATCAGTGTCTGACTGGGCAGAGGACATGTCCCTGGGCAGGGGCTCCCTTCCCTGGGGGCAGAGCAGGCAGAGTGAGGCCCGGGCCCAGATACACACTCAACTGCACTGGGACACATATCTAGGCCAAAGGTTCAAAGCCCAACTTGCTATAATTACAGAGCCGAGCCCCCTTCCCAAACTAAACCAAATGGATGCTCTCTCTGTCTCGCTCTCTCTCTCTCTCTCTCTCTCTCACACACACACACACACACACACTTCCCTTTTGAACACAAGATGGCTTTTGCAGACTCACTTTCATCTGACAAGAATATATATTTGGTTGACTCTAGTGCACTAATCTGAGAATGTATGGAACGAGGCTGTGAAAAAACGTTCCATGACACAGGCAGCCGTATAATATATAAACAAGTGTTACATTAGTTTAAAGGTTATTAACATGATGTTAGTGGCCATTCATCTTAAGACGGATGGGCTGTGATTATAATCCCCACTAGATTCCCTTGTGCTAAATTATGCGATTTGTCACGGGCCATTTGTCATATGTGTTTCGAGAGATGGAGCCAAAACCATCATTAGAGAAAAAGTAGCTTCCGAGCAGAAAGCATAACATCCTACCTTGGACCAGACAATAGTTGGCTTGGGAACTCCACTGGATTCACATGACAGGGTGATGGCCACACCCTCATTGGCTATGTAGTGGTATGGACCAGCGCTGATCTCTGGGGGCACTGGGAAAGTAGGTCACAGCTGTCTACTGAGCATGGACAACCATGGAGGCAGAATTATCACTGGATTTAGCTCACAGCATCAGCCTTCAAGGAATTTCTTCATTACAACTTGTTGATGAACCCTAATCTGTGTGTCTGTCATTATTGTCTATGGACAAAATGACTGTTCATCAATGTATGCAGTTGATGAATCACTCTTAACTATAACACTGCAGGGTGATCAAGTTACTCAGAGGTTTTTTCCCATACTAATAGTCAGCATGTTCTTAAGATCATTAAATGACCCCATGACTATAACAGATTGGCATTTATTGGGATGACTCATGTACTGGAGGCAGCTCTGCAGAGTGGTCACTAACTGGCACAGCCACAAAGTCATGAATTTTAAACCTAACCCTAACCTTAACCCTAACCTTAACCACACTGCTAAGCCTAATGCCTAACTCTAACCTTAAATTAAGACAATTTTGACTTTGCAGCTGGCCCATCTAGCTCAGTTCTGCCTCCAGGCCAAGACTTATAACAATAAACGTCAACCTGCATGACACTAGAGGATCTGCTATAGCCCTGTATTGACCATTCTGTAAATCTTATCTCCTCTCACCATGGACTTCCAGGCTGACAGATATGTTGACCGACCCCGCTACGTTCACCGCAGTGCAAACATACATCCCAGCATCCTCTGGGAGTGCCCTCTCTATGTACAGGCTACCATCGCTCCTCAGGAACGTCCTGCCACTCAACCGCAGCTAGGGAACAGCAATGGATTCAATTAGACAATGATAAACACACATTGTAAGAGGTAGTAAGATTGTAAGATTATTTGGGACAGGTCATCCTCACTTGGTTTCCATTGTGGGTCCAGTGTCTCTCTGGCAGGGGTATTCCATCCAATAGCATGCAAGGAATGCTCAGAGACTGACCAATCCCAGTGGTGATGACTGGGGCACCATGTGCCAAAAAAGGGGGCTCTGTTGGACAGAGTGGGGGGATATCGTTACATGAGCAGACAGACAGAGATGCAAAGCAGCAGCTGAAAAAATAATGTAGGATCAAACTGAAACTATTATGGGGAGAGGCAGCAATGGATACTGGTGTTATCTATCAGTCGAGAAAGGTAAGACTGAACAAAAAAACTAGTTCATACCCAGTCCACTGACACTGACTCTGGCCTCAGTCCTGATGGTTCCAAACTGGTTCTTGGCCTCACAGACATACACGCCTTCATCATCCAACCAGACACCTGTGGACCAATGTAAAGCGGGGGGAGAATACTGTTATCATGACCAAAGATATATACAGATTTCACTCTATAGGATGGAAATATATCTCCATGCAAACCTCAGTATGAGAAAGGTAACATGTGGAAGTGCTGTATTTAGAGTTGATAAGTGCATACTAACAAGAAATAATTTTCATCAACTTTGTTTCAACCGTCTACTGGCATTGTCTTGGTTTAATTATAATGTCATTAGGGTTAATTGAAAACTGATAAATACAATTAGGTGCAAAGTAGTACAGCTGCCTATACAACATGTCTTACACAGTATATTCTACTTAGACGACATGATGACAGATGAAAACATGATTCAAATGCCAGTGTCTACATGGCTGATGTTAACCCATGTGAAGAGTAAACAGTGAAAGTGATGTGGTTCATGCATGTACAATATTTAGCCTACATGCAGTATCTGACCCATTCATTAATAGGACACTGGACTCTCTTACTATAAACAACGCCAGGTAAAGACAGAAGCATCTGCTGCCGTTTAAGCAAATCAGGTCAGTATGTAGACAGATGGGGCGAGTGATGGAAGTCCACTTCTCCATTCAAATACTACTGTTTCTCCCTCCCCAATAAAAAAGAACAGCCTATAAATATTGAGGATCTAAGCTGTGGATATATCAATCTCTCTCTCCCTCTTTCCCCCCCTTCCTTCCTGGCCAAGGCTAAAGTCATGGTCAAAAAGATATTATAACCACAGCATACAGTTAAACTCGACTCAACCCTGATTTAACATGGAAATCTCTGTCAGTTCTCTAAGGCCCTCAAAGTGCCTCAGTTCCCCTCACTGGGGGAGAAAGGGGAGACACTCTGTTCATTCAGCAGTGCCAGCTGTATCCTGTTACGCTCACTCTCTTAAGAAAACGTTTACTGAATCTGATCTGAGGGGCTTCACCTCTTCTATATTTATGAACCCAAAGAATGTCAGCCATGCCAGTCACACACTTGGCGCCAATGGAGGTTGTGGTCTCTTTGGTGCCTGCTGCTTTGGTATGGAATTCAATAGCGGGGTAGTGAAATATTGTAAAGAACAATAGTGGGAAAGGGACATAAGACTCACTCTGGATCAGCAGATGCCCTTTTTCTAGTTGCACCTGGCTACCGCTGCTGTCTGCTTTAGTGAGAATCGGTCTCCCATCCTCTCGATGCCAGGTGACTTTGGGCAACGGGAAACCATGGGCGACACAGTGCAGCGTGACATTCTCCCCCACATCCGCCATCATGTCAACGGGGGTTTCTGAGAACAGAGGGGCCGCTGTGGGAGAAAGAGTAGGGAGATCAGTATGAAGTTCTCTATATTCAAATAGAGTGTATGAAAAGGATAGAGAACTACTCTACATAAAATACATAAATAGTCTGTATTACAACTACTTGGTTTATATTAAGGGTGCAATGCCTTACCGTTATTACTGGTTACCTGAAAGTGGCATTAATTCAGTAAGGCTAAAATGTCTGCCCTCACCTCCGACCTCCAGAATAACGGTAGCAGAAGAGGTTCCAGCAGGGTTTCTGGCCACACAGCTGTACTCCCCGGCATCCTTCTCCTGCACCCCTCGGATCTGCAGCGTCCCACGATGCACGTCCTGCTCAGCAAAAGGAACTAAGCCCACCTGCAGATCACCTGAGAAAAAACAAGAAAATGACACACAGACACAGTGACTTATTAATGAATGCAAATATCAACCTAACAAGTATCACAACGAATCACTCAGTGTCAGTATTTACCTTTGGACCATTTGACCAGAGGAGGGGGGACACCTGTTGCCCGGCACGCCAGAGTTGCATCACCTCCAACTGCCACCATCACAACCTGTTTCACCACCCAGATACTGGGTTCCTCTGTAGGGAGGGAGGGGGAACCAAGATAGAGCTTAAATAATAAACATGATCAAAACATGTTTATTATCTACCAAATCGGCAAACAAGTTTACAATGTTATACATGATCAGAATAGCAAAGTCATGTGAAATTAATTTTGTAAATTGACTGGGCAGCGGCCCAGGCAGGAGGTAAAAATAGAAGTATCGCTGCCTGACATTTCACATGCCTTGTACGTCAGCGGAGACGTGACAGAGACAGACGCTACAGTAGTCGAGAGAGAGAGAGACAGCTGAAAGGATGAGACGATGCATCCAGCCAGAGCCAGCATGATGGTGTCTTGACAGATCAGTGTTGTTAAAAATGACACTCCCAGACAAAAGTGAGCATAATACAAGTACACACCAGAGAGAAGCTGCCATGGTCCATCAGCGCTGTGCCCTCTGTCAAGCACTCACTGACAGCAATGCTAAAAATACATCCTGATGACTGTTAACTCTGCCCACACAGGGAAGTTTTAACCCGCTGAGCAAGACAGGGGGAAATATGCCACTGTCAATCTGAGCTCTACTCACAGCTAGACAACATAGCCCAAACACCATGGATCAGGTAGAAATTCATTCAAACAGCACTCAACAAAGTTTTCTAACACATAAACCATACAAAAGTGACCGAACTCTGAACTCTGAAAATGTATGCCTGGGGAACAGAAGATAGAATAATCTTGAGTTGAACTAGTCTAGAGAGCACCTGTCATAGCCTTTATAGAGCTGTCTCACTCAACCTATGATAGGACTGGGACTATATAGACATCTCTACCCACCTGTATAATTGAGAGACACAGTCTGTTTAGCAGTTCCAGCCTCATTTGTCGCAAGACATGTGTAGTTCCCAGCATCCTCAGGGAGGGCATCTCTGATTGTTAGGCCGCCATGTTTGGATATATTCATCCTGTATCATGTAAGACAGTCATCAGTCATGGGAATTCATGTTTGTTGATTTAGATGATTACAAATACAGATGTCTCGATGAAATTCATCACTAGCTGTCCAAAGAACAGTTTGGATCGTTTGAGGCATATCTCTTTTGAAAATGTATTTATTGGCAGCCATATAATGTAAATGTACAAACAATCTGGAATAATATCATTTTGTGGTTAGATGTAACTATAAAATGAAGCAAACGAGATGTGACATTTGTATATTCATAGTAGGCTTTTAAAATAGAATCAAACAAGTCTCTGCAGCTGCTGTCGTGTAGGTGTTGAGTGGGCTGAGAGTTCCTTTACCTTGGCTGATTAGTGAGGAAGATGTTTCCATGACTCCAGAAGAGCTGTGGAGTGGGGGAGCCAGACACTGTGCAGATGAGGCGGACCTCAGACCCCCTGGAGAAGGCTTGGCTCTGGGGGCTGACTACCACAGAAGGGGCCTCTACAGAGACAGAGAAGATCCATAGGAAAGAGCTGATGACTCATGTCCCAGTCATGGCTTTATGATAAGTCATTTATTACAGGCAGCGGTGATCATGGCTAAACTGTGGTAAACCTCTGCTAGTCTGGGGGCAGAGCAGGATTAACAGGGAGGGCCTGACGTCATGATCACAGCGGATCACAGTCAGAGACATGTTTCAAAATTTGTTTGGTCGTTTTCAGACGTATTACAAGAGTCTGAGGCCATGCCCATGATAGAAGCCGCAATTTTCAACTTGCATCAATTGGGCTGATTTGAAACATGTTCTGACTGGGAGCGTTTCTGGAGAAGTGGATAAGTCCTTCTACTAAGGCAGTAATGAAAAGCAGATGCCAGAGGCCTGGAAGAGGTATGGAGGAGGCCCTGGTGTGTTAAGTGTTTAAGCAGATAACCGGTGCGTTGCAATTGGGGTGCGGTGAGCTACAGTACCTGGGACGAGCAGCCACACTGTGACTCGACTGTCTCCATGGGCGTTGGTGGCCACACACTGGTACTGGCCGGCGTCCTGGGGCCGCACCCCACTGATCTCCAGGAAGGAGTTGGGCAAGACCCTTACCCTCCCGGAGCGGGCCAGGATAGTGAGGCCTGCCCGCTGCCAGGTCAGGTTGTGGCGCATGGAGCCCTCCACCTGGCAGGCCAGCACAGCAACGGCCCCCACAGTAGAGCTCACGTTCACTGGGGCCTTCAGCACTGGAGGAGGCTCTGTCTCATGGGAAACACAGAATCAACACAGTGAGACAAACAACACACTATCAGCAGGGACTAAACAGTACAGACATAGTATACTGTCAATGTAAACATTTTGAATTACATGTTTTATATCAGTGGAATTTATATAAGCAATATATAAATATGATAAGTATTTTGGAATGGTTTTCAAAGCTTTGACTAGCTAAGTGGTGTGTGTTTGTTCTTCTGACATACCTCTCACAGTCAGCTGTGTGAGGGCTCGTCCCAGTCCTGCGCTGCTCTGAGCGATGCACTCGTACGGACCCTCATCCTCACCTGAGGCATGCGGAATCTCCCATGATGCTTTGCCAGAGAACCTGAGACACATGAACAGTTAGCTGGCAGGTGAGTGATGATGGGAACACGATACTATCTTACAGCCTCTCTGGCACAGAGACACAGTGAATACCTCTCACCAGAGGTCGGCATTATTTCATGTATGTAATTCAAAACAGTGTCAGAACACTGTAGTCCCATGTAGCACAGTTGGTAGAGCATGGCGCTTGCAACGCCAGGGTTGTGGGTTCGATTCCCACGGGGGACCAGTATGAAAATGTATGCACTCACTAACTGTAAGTCGCTCTGGATAAGAGCGTCTGCTAAAAATGTAAACAGAGAGAGATAATAATGCTTTGTTAACTTTCCAAGATGACACAATTGAATGCGTAATGTACACAAAATCTACTGTGTATACCCGTCTCCTGATTGATGCACCAATGAAAGGCAACAGAGTCGATCGGCACTAATGTCTTGCAGAGCTGGTAACTGCTAACAGTGCACTGTGTCATACCCCATGACCTAATCAGCTGTTTCACAGGGTATTGCGTGCATTTGGCAGTATCACCCAAAAGGAGGGCAAGTCAAGTGTCATATAGTGTGTTCAACGAACAGAAGGGACAGACACTCACTGGAACAACTTTTCCTCTCCAAGAGACACTCCACTCCGGGTGAACCTCAGTCTATAGGGAACATCGCTCTCTACCGAACAGCCAATCATAGCGGGCTGCATATAAAAGCTGTTAACCACATTGGGCATGCTCACCGCTGGGGGATCTGTTTCAAGACAAAAAGGAGAGCAGGGAAGAGGTCACACAAAGGACTGGGGCTGTCTGTGAGACACTAGGATGGAGACTGAGGAGAGGGGTCTCTTACCTGGGATGATGTTTGTGTAGGAGACACTGGACAACCTTTGGAAGCGGTTACCTTCCTCATCCTTCCCTGTCACCTTGAGGAAGAAGCTTTGGGAAGGAGTGCGAAATTCTGGGACACTCCAGAGTCCTCGGCTGCCCCTGTCAGAGGGCAGAGGCACAGGGAGGGTGCGTAGGGAGCGTCCTGAACCTGACACTAACTCCATGTGACTCAGCTGACCTGGGGGCTTCAGTCCTGTACACTTCAGCAACACATGGGCTGGAACTCCTATGGAAGGGGGGGAAAGCCAAATGTTATTCAAAGCAATCACATATACATACAAAGATGTAAAATTGCTTGTACACATTACCTTTGATGGGTCTCTCCCTGGTATAGTTGAACTCAGACACTGGTATACTGGAGAACCCAGCCCGGAAGTCCAGATTGCTGACCCCTGTAACTCTCAGAGTGTGGCGGCCACCGCAGCCCACCTGGACATAGAAAGGGGACATTCAGTTGTTGTTTTGTGCATCAGAGGCGACTAAAGCAGTTATCTCATTCTCACTGCAGGATGATCACAACCATGTCAGCAGGATCTACAGTACAGTACCTTCAGAGTCCAGGCTCCAGGTCGGGGGAACTTCAGGTTGACAACACGGGCTGAGTTTGGGATATTCAGTAGCTCTGTGAGGCCCTGCTCTACTCCAACAATGCGACCTAAGCAATTGAAACACATAACAATGTAATTTCAAAATGTGAAATAGCATTTGATGTTCAGCTAAATGGATATATAGTATTATTCTCAAGTAGTGACAACGTTATTTGATATCTATACAGCGAGAATACATAATGAAAGCATAATGTACCAAGGGGATCCCTGAGCTTAATCTGAGGGGCTGGCCCACTAAGTGACACAGTGACCTCCTTCAGGCTGGGGTCAAAGGGCACCTCCCACTGGTTCTCCTGAGCGCTGTCATGGTTGGAGGAGAGCAGGTGGACCTTCAGGGCCTGTACTGTTTCTTCCACCCACTTCAAGACCTGGCAGGAGAGAAGACATCATCTCAGCAAGATAGCAGCACACCTCACACAGCACACAGCTAGAGGACAAACTAGACAGGTGTGGTCTGGAACCTGTTACACTAGACTAGACTATATAGACATTCTGGCAAAGACCTCTACTGGAAACCCAATCAGAGAGAAAGGACAGGAAGGATGTGCATGTGGCCTCATGACCCATCTCTGATTCTGAAATTGTCTGCTTTAACACTGCAAGCTGGTCTTTGTCTTTGGACCATTCTTCCATTGCCAAAGTATGTCTCAAAGGGATCTTCCATAAACAAAAGGAAAGTGAAACAGCTCAACTGTCAAAAAGATAACATACAGTTTTCTGCAATTAAGGCTAGAAATGGCTAAACCTTTTTACTCTGTGTTATCTGTCAAATTGGTTGGGCTTTAAATAGCAGATGTGGCCTGAGAGGACTTGTCTGGTCTGGAGTTGATGGGATTGTGGCGGCTTCACTCTAAAATGAGGGCTATTATCTTTATTATCTGCTAAATGACTAAAATGTAAATGTAATTATCTTTAAAGATGACCCAATGTATGGCTTCTGCTGAGACTGAAATAACCCTGGGTGGCTTGATTGTTTTCAATTCCAGTAGTAAACATCACTGAGTATACTTTTCCCCCATGACTATTACTGTAGAATATTTACAGCTAGAATTTTTATGTTTAGGTTTTCAACCCTGTGGGTGAAATCATGCTGATGGTTAAGATTCCGAAGAAAAACAACCTGTGTCCTTTCTCCTTTACAGGAAAAGAAGAGCATAACCTGTTGTGTAACTGTGTCTCATTCATTTCACTGACTGGACCATCCTTTTTTCCATCTTTTAAGTGCTTAACAAGCAACTGTGGTCTTGTATTTGTTTTGACCCCACAATCGTGAGGGCAGACATTATGGTTGCATTGTGTCTATAATAAAACAAACTGAAAAGATTGCTTCAGTGGCCCCTCTGAGAAAAGGGGCTTATTCAACACATCTTCATATATTTAGGAATAATGGAGAAGATTGGAGTGAGCAAAGCCTTTGATCATTTAATTAGCAGGCCTCCCCTCTCGGTGTACCGGCCCACTGGGTGCTCTCAGCTGCTGGTTCCTCTCAGAGTTTACAACTGGAAACAGCTGTACGGTCTGCCACATGTGCAGCCATCCCCAGCAGAGCAGGAAACTGCTGTAGAGTGACCTACATCTTCCACAAACCGGTGTCTATTTCATCTCCAGCACCCAGGGAGGACACAGAGTAGACATTCATCTCCCCACAGCCTTAGACAAAAGGACATGGAGACTTTTAGACATTCATCTCCCCACAGCCTTAGATAAAGGGACATGGAGAATCAGAGACATTCATCTCCCCACAGCCTTAGATAAAGGGACATGGAGAATCAGAGACATTCATCTCCCCACAGCCTTAGATAAAGGGACATGGAGAATCAGAGACATTCATCTCCCCACAGCCTTAGACAAAGGGACATGGAGACTCAGAGACACATTGACAGACCTGCTGCTGTCTGGTCTGGCCAAGGTGTGTCTCAAGGAAAATGCTGTGTTCTGATGCTGCTGCTACAGCTGCTCCCTGCCTGGGCCATGGAGAATCTACAGGTCTTTGAAACCTCATCCACTGTGTCTTGGCTAAACAGGCACATGCCGGTGTGTCAGGAAGAAGCATCTCCGCTATTCTAGGAATTGAGACAGGAGGGTGGGCAGAGGAAGGTCAGCTAATGCTGAGGAGATGCACTATTCTTTTCTTCCTCCAGCTTGGTGGTTGTCTACAGGGATTCCTCCTCCTCACACCCCTTTGAACCCTCCCAGTAGACCGCCTGACTGATGGTTTCTCCCATCGTGGTTGGGGAACCTACAGACTACAGCCCTCCTTGCAGACAGGGGTCACCAAGCTCCTGCTCTGGGGTTAAGACACCACCACCATTGCGGTGAGGGAAGAGACGGGGTGCCAGGAACCAGGCTATTAGGCCAGATCAGTCCCAGATGGACCCCCGTTCTCCTATTGGATGGGAATGTCAAAACACCTGCCTTGCCTTTCCCCCAGACAACAGTTTAGCACATCTGTCTTCCTGTCTCTGAGAGCAGGTCTAGACCACAGAGAATGGTTTTGTTCACTAACCTCAGGAACATGACAGAGGATACAGGTTAACTGGATTTCATTTATATTTTCACAAACACTCCTGTCCCTTTAACTCACTACTGGGCCCACCTGATAAGGAAATAATTAGGCCAATATTACCAGTGGTTATTTTATGGAAGGAAGTCCTGCTATTTCAGTGAGGAGTGCGTGTGGATCACAGGAGGTTGGTGGCACCTTCATTGGGGAGAACGGGCTTGTGGTAATGGCTGGAACGGAATGGTTCCCATGTGTTTGATGCCATTCCATTCGCTCCATTCCAGACATTATTATAAGCCATCCTCCCCTCAGCAGCCTCCACTGGTGTGGATTTGAAACACAGAGACACAAACATGCATTGGCCAGGCTACTGCCAAGGTGATCATAGACAGTCTACAGTAGATTATAGAGGGACAGCAATAACACATGAGCTCATGGCCTGTCCTGTCTCTTTATCATCCTTATTGAGTCTAGGCTGAGGCAACAGAACAGACATCCTCCATACGTATGGATCAGTGCAAGGATGAAACCTTCCAGAGCCTAGAATGATTTCTCTTGGCCAGGTTCTCAGCCCTCTCACATCCTTCACACACTGAGAACTGAGGATGGCCTCCGTGACCATTAGGACCAGAATCAAAGCTTTAGACAACGCATTAGTGTTCTTTTTCTGCCCAAGCTCGGGATTGTTTGGCAGATTGCTCCAGTGATCACAACAAGTTAAGTCTTAAGAGTTGAAGGAGTGTCACACACAAGGTTTCACAATAAGTTGTTGTGTGTGGACTTGGAGTCAGCTCCAGTGGGCAGCTGTGTTGGAGAGGGAGAGGGAAGCCATGACAGATCATATCCTGGGATTAGAGAGTAAAATATAAGCAGTCTGTTTTTCTCCACATCTCCCCCCGATACCACAAAAGACTGTGTATATTTGATTTGGCAGCAGTTTATTAAACTCATATTAAGGGGGACGATGTTAGTTAGATTTGAGGTACTCATGCGGTTTCTAAGGATTAAAGGATTTACATTAATTTAGTAATAACATGCCACCTAGGAGTTACAATCCCACTGGTTGTAAACGCATCTGAAATATGGTAGTAGTTCTCCATGTGGATCCATGCTAAATGAGTGGAGAGAAGAGCATGATATATTAAAGATATAATGGGTCACATTAAAACATAAAGGCACTCCAGCCACTATCCACACTCGGGCCCAGGTTGAGAGGACTGTTTTCTGTTGGGGGTGTGAATGTGGTGCCTCAGCTCCTCACTGTTGACTCAGCATGCTTGAAAATAATATAAATTAGTTTGATGACTCTCCGCTTCTGATTCTCACCTCATTGACCTGCTGCTTGTTCAGGTGAAAGATCTGTCCAGAGCTGGTGGCAGCGATCTCCTCATAGGCTCTGTACCCAGGCTGAGAGCGGTCTCCACAGTCCCCAGTCAGCACAAACACAACCTGGGTGCACACAGAGGACATGATTGGAAGGTTATTATTACTTAACTTATACTGAGATTATTGTAATCATACATTGCAATCAATCATTACCTGTGACTGTCGGAGCTGCACCAGCTGCAGCACGTCCCGTTTGAGGTGGTAGTCCTTGGCCCTGGCGTCAGTGAACACGTAGATAAAGGAGCTTGGTAGAGACACCTCCAGGGCCTTCTTTATGGCTCCTATACTCATCTCTGGACAGTCTCCACCTCCCTGAGAGAAGACAACACACAGACCATTGATCCAAAGCCATCACTGAGGGCCTCAATAGGAACAGGCAATACATCACTATGCATAGACCTGTGCTGTGCTATGTAGCCTAACCATAATCTTATTGAAACTATGGTCTTCAAATTCTAAGTAGTCTGCATTTCTATTGTACAGATCCTACATAGCCTACCTCTTTTCTGGTCTACAGATTGATATCAAGCATGTACAGCCTATCCTATGGAGTCTGACAGATGTTCTGGCGGAGATGGTATAGCTCTAACGTTGTAACAGGCTTTGGTTCTGGTACACACCTGGACAAACAGCTCCTGCAGATCCTGCTGGAACTTCTTTGGGTCAGTGGTGATGGACACAGGGCCAATCTCTAGGAGAACACATCATGTGGATGCTATTAACATTATACATGACGAATGGCTGGATAATCAAAGGCCAATCAATAAAAGCCGAATATGAAAGATAAAAAGATAGGTCAGTTGCACTGAATAATTATAGGGTGCTGGATGATCGTCCATGGTTAAATGGTAGTCCATGCTGCTCCCTCATAAAGAATGCCTGTAGTACCCTAATTTATTAGTGGTGGACAATTAAATATCACATACATGCTAGATTATATAATAATATAGCATGTCTGTGGTGGTATTATAATAATAATAAGTCATTTAGCAGACGCTCTTATCCAGAGCGACTTACAGGAGCAATTAGGGTTAAGTGCCTTGCTCAAGGGCACATCCACAGATCTTTCACCTAGTCGGCTCGGGGATTAGAACCAGCGACCTTTCGGTTACTGGCACAATGCTCTTAACCACTAAGCTACCTGCCACCCGTTATTATTATTGTGCCATCTCTGGGTCAAAAAGCCCATGATGACTGAGTAATCATTAGTTGTGTTTAGTGCTGAAGTTAAAGGGCCAGTGCAGTCAAACAACACACCACCCTGCATCCCACTGCTGGCTTGCCACTGAAGCTAAGCAGGGTTGGTCCTGGATGGGAGACCAGATGCTGCTGGAAGTGGTGTTGGAGGGCCAGTAGGAGGCACTCTTTCCTCTGGTCAAAAAAATAGATTCCAATGCCCCAGGGAAGTGATTGGGGACATTGCCCTGTGTAGGGTGCCATCTTTCGGACGTTAAATGGGTGTCCTGACTTTCTGTGGTCACTAAAAGATCCCATGGCACTTATTAATCATCCCCAGCTTCCAATTGGCTAATTCCTATCCCCTGTAACTATTCCCCAGGTGGTTGCTGTAAATGAGCATGTGTTCTCAGTCAACTTACCTGGATAAATGAAAGTCAAAAACGTGAGGCTGGAATAATACTGTGAAAATTATGATAATGCCCTTTTAGTGTTGGAGCTGTTTGAAAAGACCGCCTGAAATTTCAGTCTGTTTTGGTGGGATGGAGTTTTGGCCTGCCTGATGACATCACCAGGCAGTAAATTAGTTAATTAGTTAGTAGACCAATAAGAAAGAGAGTTTCAAACCTCTCTGCCAATAACAGCTAGTTTTTAGTTTTCCCCTCCCCACTCAGACAAGTCCCAGACAGTCCTAGCTAAATTCTTGCTTGAGAAATTGCTCTTTGCTAAGAAGATATTTTTGTTTATTTTTTACCATTTTAATTGAAAACAATCACAGTAATGATTTGATATTGAGATAAAAACACCTGCATTGGACCTTTAATACTCTCTGTTGGGTGACCTGGTCCCCTATCATGATGCAGTGTACCCCAGGATGACAAATAACAGCCTGCTAAGATCTGACACTTATTTGGACTCCTTCAAGGGCTGATCGATGTAGCAGTAAACATTAACCGACAAACAGAGAATATATTGTTTGTGATAGAGAATAGGTTGCCATATAGAACAGTCTTTCACTCTAGTGTGAGGGATGGGCCTGGTAGTTTGGGGTGGGGCCAATGTGTGTGTGTGTGTGTGTCTGTCTGTTTGTGTGTGTGTGTGTGTGTGCGTGCATGCGGCATGTCTGCTTCAAGCTTTGCCATCAAATTGCAAGCCTTGCTTACTAAATATAACTATTACAATAGACATTGATAATACATGGACGTGTCAGACTGCCTGGTGATTATTTCTTGATCACTCTCTCGCTCTCCCACTGTCTTTTTCTTGTCAGGCTTTTAAAATCTTTGTCCCCACTTCACTCATAAGAGTCCATAAAACATGGACACTGTCACGCCTCTTTGTCAATCACCCAGTTTATTTGCAATCTCAGGAGGTTTACAAGGTCCTCAAAGACAGAATGTGTGGCGTTAGTGTAGCTAGCCGAGCACAACATCCCCCCTCCCAACTTCCAGCCCTTAGACCCAGGCTTGGTTACTGGGGCTGGTAGGCTTTCCGGAGGGGTTGATGGGGGGTGATTGGGGTAATTACGCACAAGCAAGCAGCATATGCTTCTCATCAGGGCTCAAACACCCTCCCCCATTAGGGCACTCTCTATTTTCAAACTCCAGCTTTCCCATAGAGGGAGAGTGGAAGAGGGACGCTTGGGGAATGAAGCTTACCTGTTGCCACATCCCCGTTAGCGCAGTTATCCTGTCCTCTGTGTGAGTCATGTTTAAGCACACTAACTGTAACCTAACTCAAATGTAGTTGGGTTGTTCCACCAAGTCGTGCCTTTTGAGATGTGTAACTTGGTGATTTTGTTGTTGTTGATTTCACCTCATTCTAACATTCTGTCATAGGGAGCACATGTTCAACTTAATACAAAACCTGCTTTACCATCTCAAGGGGTTAAATAAAGTGCCAAATAAAAGTGCCAAATAAAGTGACAGGGTTGACCATAACAGGGTTGACGATTTAATCTTTAATCAGCCATAAATCCCCTTGTGACAGGGGAAATTGAAGCTTGTTGTGTGCAACAGGGAGGGGCAATTGAATGTAAGCGTCACAAAAAAAAAAATGCATCATTAAAATACATCTAGCTTGTTTATCTATGGGTAACAGGATTGACATGTTATGCTCGACCCACTCGATTTTCCACCACAAAACACCAGAAAATTGCCAAAAAGAGTAGAACCAGCTCACTTGCTTTTACATTATGATTTGACTATTAGATGTTCAATGTTTCTTTTGAAAAATAGATTTTAAAAGGAATAGTTTCAAAATATTAAAACAAGAGTTCAGTTCACAGAACAGGGTTGACCTTAAAATGAGGGACAGGTTTTTTTTTTTGTTAAAATGAATCACTACTCACATTTTTAAAAAAACAATCTCCAGAAATGACTTTGTCAAAGCAACAAAATGACTAGGACTTTACAATGATGGCGAAAACTTGGTTAATTGGGTCAAAATCGTTGTGGTATTTTGGCACTTTGCCAAGTCTTTATTCATATACAAATCTGATTTATTGAATTCTCCATGTGGTCTATATTAAAGGGAACTTCATTGAATATAGCAGGCTTTAAAATATATATATATATATCTTGGTGCACAATTTATAATTAAAATATCAAAGGGATGCAAAAGGTACTCATTTCGTGGAAGGACCCAATTAGTGTCTTATTTTTCTAATGTGTTTATCTTGAAACAGAGCCATAAACATCTGTAATTTGTAGTTTGCTTCCAGTTAAATACGAAAACCAACCTCAGATTGGCTAGTAAATATTAAGATAATTAATGTATTGAGTGAAATGCAGGATACTGAAATCAATTGTTTAATGTCAATTGTTTAATGGAAATAATATAGGCCTATTGTCATTTGTCTTTAAAAAATGCTAAATGTATTACTCTTGTAAGAAATAATTAGGGTTCTGCAACTTTTCATCTTCTATTTTTTTTTACCTGGGTCGTGAAACGGGACGAGGACAAAGTTTTTGATGGGTCTGGTCCTCCGGTTGAGGGTCTTTTCCAGGATCCGAGAAGCGCCCTCTATTACCTGTTTGAGGTCGTCGTACATTGAGCCGGTAACATCGAACACAAAGGCCAGGGTTGAAGCGCTGTCACTGTCCATGGAATCAAAGTCCTCCTGGACCCCCTCAACTCGTAGGTCGGCCAGTACTTTGTACCCGCAAATAAAGAGCGCCAAGGAAAGACATTTCAACATAATACCGGTCATTATCAATTCACTGTATCTGTATTTGCTTTCAGAAATGTAACAAACCAGTTAAAACACTAACATAAATCTTTTGGCGGAAAAAAAAATCGCCTATAAAAATAAATGTATTGCCAAAAACAACTCAAACGCAAAAATAATTGGAAATGTTGTTTCAATTGAAATGCAGGCCGATCTAGACTAGATGATGTAGCACGTTATTTCCTCCGAGTTACATCCTTGTGCAAAAGTTTGGAGGGACTGAAACGAGCTGCTCCCCTGGAGAACTGGAACGCTGAGCGCTCGGAACGGGGGTGGAGATGGGTGTTAAACGGGTCCTGAGTAGGAACAAGCTGATTTTTTTTGTGTGTAACTTGACCCGGCTATGACTTCCAGCCCCAACCCTATATCCCACATTCTCCTGGCTGGCTACACTTTATCTATCAGCATTGTATCCAGCCAACCTAGCCTGATGCAACGAAATTGTGCACAACTTTTACGCACTTTTACAGTGGAGAATAATTTTGGTCATGACTCAAGAGCATTGTCCAAATGGCTTGGGATTTATTAATAGCAGCGTTTATATTCAGCTGGCATCTAATTTTGTACATGCTACTCTCTGGCAGTAGCCTGTCATAACGGTATACTATCCCTCTGGTGCATGAATGGAATCAGTGGCTTGACATGATACAGAGAAATACTGTACCAGATGTGTTTTCAGAGGAAAGGTTTAGGAAGCCAAACGTCCCTTTCTCTTCAGATTACACATCCTGATAAGAACGGATACTTCGATTGCATCACATGCTGAAGCAGTTGCTCTCAGTAATCTATTTTCTGATATTTTTTTCATTAGATTTATTTGAGCCCAAATAAATATGTAAGTGTCACGCCATGCAAGCCGTGAGACTGAGGTAGCATATCGGTACGTTTGGCGAGGAGATAAGGCAACCTACAAGAGGAAGGAAAGGGCTGCTAGAATGGGAACAATTCAGTGAACCAAAAAATAACCATTGGTGTCAGACAGGAAATAACAGGAAATCCACAGAGATTTGGAGTCACTAAAGGAATTATCATTTCAGGCTCCTATTCCACATTTCTTCTTACCCAAGAAAAGCATATACAAGAGAAACAATACATTTTATAGGATGCTGCTGCAAAGCCAAGGCCTGATTGGTGGAGTGCTGCAGAGATGGTTGTCCTTCTGGAAGGTTATCCCATCTCCACAGGTACTCTGGAGCTCTGTCAGAGTGACCATTGGGTTCTTGGCCCTTCTCTACCGATTGCTCAGTTTAGCCTGGCGGCCAGCTCTAGGAAGAGTCTTGGTGGTTCCAAACTTCTTCCATTTAAGAATGATGGAGGCCACTGTGTTCTTGGGGACCTTCAATGATGCAAACACTTTTTGGTACCCTTCCCCAGATCTGTGCCTCGACACAATCCTGTCTCGGAGCTCTACGGACAATTCCTTCGACCTCATGGCTTGGTTTTTGCTCTGACATGCACTGTCAACTGTGGGACCTTATATAGATAGGTGTGTGTGTGCCTTTCCAAATCATGTCCAATCAATTGAATTTACCACAGGTGGACTCCAATCAAGTTGTAGAAACATCTGAAGGATGATCAATGAAAACAGGATGCACCTGAGCTCAATTTAGAGTTTCATACAAAGGGTCTGAATACTTACGTAAATAAGGTATTTCTGTTTTTGTTTTTTATAGATTTGCAAGAATTTCTAAAAACCTGTTTTCGCTTTGTTATTATGGGGTATTGTGTGTAGATTGATGAGAAAAATAAATAACTTAATCAATTTTAGAATAAGGCTGTAATGTGGAAAAAGGGAAAGGGTCTGAATACTTTCCGAATGCACTGTATGAGCTTGGCACACTTTGGTCCTCCTTTTGCACCACGTAGTAACTCCAGTTCTTATGGCTCTTAGATCTCCTGCACCCAACCAGATGGATAAGAATAAACAGACATTATTGAACTTGCTGAGGGCCTGCCTAGCCTGTACCCAGCCACTAGATACCCCTATATGACTTTCACCCACACAGTGATGGCACATCAAGAACACATCACTACTTCTTAATGGACTCTTTGAAGTGGGCCCATCTGCTGTAGGAATCCTTAAAGTTAGGGCATAAAAGCTTACACTGTGAGCCTATGGTGTTAGACTAGACTATGGATTTGAAATGGAAAGTAGTCTTTACTCATATCTATTAACTGTCATAAAGCACTGTTTAATGAACAAGTTAGTCTTTGTTTCACCAAGTGAGGCCACCAGGCTTTGATGGATAAATCCCTAATTAATGATAACAGGGTAATTTATGTTTATGTTGTACAAAAGCCAGAATCTCCATTGAACAATTACTTCAACCACTTTCTGTCGGAGTTCTGTTCCTGTATCCCCTTTCGAATAAAAGGGTCTTTGAGGGAACCGAGCCAAGATTTATGAAACAGATTAAATCACACAAATGTAAAGGCAGCCACTTTTAAAATGCATTTTATTCTGTGCTCTGTGTTCTTAAATGTAAATGACAGCACAGGGGGAAATGATCTTTCTCGCTTGAGTAACGCTAAATCAGTGAAGCTGACAAATACCTAATGTTCAGACTGAAATAACCGAGACTGAAGGGGAAAAAGCATCATCACATGCTGGGATCTGTGTTTTCTGTTGAACACACAGGACAGACTCAAACACACAGCCCGCAAACAGCTTTACAACGAGAATGTATGCCTGTTTGTTCTCAATAGCCGAAGCCTTGAGTACACACAGGGTGGAGTAAGATGCGTCAAAGGAAATAATGAGCCTCAACTGGGATATGTCAACTGTGAAGAACTACACTGTGTTTCTTGGTCATGCCATTCAAGAAGTGGCTTTAAACATTACAGAGCCTTGATGGTAGTGCTGATGGGAAAGGGAACACACATCTAACACATTAGGAGGCACATACCACAAACATAATAAATGAAGCCTTACAAAAACCCCTCCCTGCCCACTTTCCCCTCAAATAAAAATATAAAATAAATCTCCTCAGAAGGAAGCGGTTTGTTCTTGAAGCAGGATGAAAAAAAGGCATTCCATTTAAAAAAATTCAGATTTTAAAAAACTCTTAAGCTTCATTTCATGTGAATGAACAGCACTCCAACAAAAGCAACAAATATTAAACGTTACACACCTATTTACACTGAGTGTACAAAACATTAGGAACACCCGCTCTTTCCATGACAGACTGACCAGGTGAATCCAGGTGAAAGCTATGATCCCTTATTGATGTCACTTGTTAAATCCACTTCAATCGGTGTAGATGAAGGGAAGGAGACAGGTTAAAGAAGGATTTTAAAGCCTTGAGACAATTGATACATTAATTTAGTATGTGTGCCATTCAGAGAGTGAATGGGCAAAACAAGATATTTAAGTGCCTTTGAATGGGGTATGGTTGTACTGCAACGCTGCTGGGTTTTTCACGCTCAACAGAATTGAGGCTGTTCTGATGGCAAAAGGGGTGCAACTCAATATTAGGAAGGTGTTCCTAATGTTTTGTACACTCAGTGTATACTATATATCATATATACATGGGTTTATAAATAAGTTGATCTCTCTCCACACTCTCAAATCAGTGCCTGCTGATGTCTCCCGCTGTAGTCTTTCAGGTAGCCATGTGACAGCTCTCCATGTGTCAGCCACACCACTATGGCTCTGTTGAGCGCTGTTCACAGTTCACACACACCTCAAGGGGTATCCTCCAGTATAGTCCACAGGGGAAAACAACCTTTACACTCTCTCTGAAGCTGTTCTTCAGTGCTGTCCATCCCTTGTTTGAGTTCTTGAATGAAGTCCACAGATATATACCATCAACAACTTCATTCCTGGCATGTATACATTCAGTGTCTCTTACCGTCTTGTTCTTGTTTTATTTTACATGTTGTAATATGAGAGGGCTCATAGTTGTTTTCAATGCTTAGAGTGGAGATTAATATGTGCAATTGAGGACAGTATTACACAAGTCCTTGCCCTCCTCCTCACCCTCCTATGTCTCCTTCTGGATGGTGCATGGAGGGATGTTGATGTTTGTAGATGCTTCTTCTCATAGCAGGTGTGATGGCACTGTGTTAGATTCATCTGGGAATCTGTAATAATAATCACTATTGAGTTCAATGTGGCAATGAAATCAGACAAGGAAACAAACAGTGCAATATCCTATTGACAATAAGGGACCCTGAACTCTATAACAAGTAAATGCAAGGCTACTTTAAACCCAAGCGGCCCCATGTATCTGTCTATATTGCGCTCAAACACTCTGTCACATGTTGAGCAGGACGTCAGCTACAATTGGTAATAATGGGCAGTGGAATACATTAGATAGAGGGAGGAGACCAGCTAACTGCCCTCTCTCCTCTCTGAGGACTGCAAGGCTGTTTGATCTGCAGCAATCAGCAGAGGTTACTTGAATAATGCATAAGGACAAACTGTGGTCTGACAATGGCCGCTGTGCATTGTTTTAAGACCATGCGAGTCTCTGACCACTATACTATAATGTAATCCTCAAACAGATCAATTGCCCACACAATTCATAGTTTCTCTAATTATTAAAAAAAATATTTTGATTGTATGATATGTACAACCATATGACATTTCCATCACTGGGGTGCTGCATGATTAAGATAAAGAGATTAAGATCACTTCCAACCCCTCCGAAAGACACATACATACACTACCTGTCAAAAGTTTTAGAACACCTACTCATTCAAGGGTTTTTCTTTATTTTTACTATTTTCTACATTGTAGAATAATAGTGAAGACATCAAAACTATGAAATAACACATATGGAATCATGTAGTAATCAAAAAAGTGTTAAACAAATCAAAATATATTTTATATTTGAGATTCTTCAAATAGCCACCCTTTGCCTTGATGACAACTTTGCACACTCTTGGCATTCTCTCAACCAGCTTCACCTGGAACAGTCTTGAAGGAGTTCCCACATATGCTGAGCACTTGTTGGCTGCTTTTCCTTCACTCTGCGGTCCGACTCATCCCAAACCATCTCAATTTGGTTGAGGTCGGGGGATTGTGGAGGCCAGGTCATCTGATGCAGCACTCCATCACTCTCCTTCAAATAGCCTTTACACAGCCTGGAGGTGTGTTGGGTCATTGTCCTGTTGAAAAACAAATGATTGTCCCACAAAGCCCAAACCAGATGGGATGGCATATCACTGCAGAATGCTGTGGTAGCCATGCTGGTTAAGTGTGCCTTGAATTCGAAATAAATCACAGACAGTGTCACCAGGAAAGCACCCCCACACTATAACACCTCCGCGTCTCACAAAGACACTGCGGTTGGAACCAAAAATCTAAAATTTGGACTCCAGACCAAAGGACAGATTTCCACCGGTCTAATGTCCATTGCCCATGTTTCTTGGCCCAAGCAAGTCTCTTCTTCTTATTGGTGTCCTTTAGTAGTGGTTTCTTTGCAGCAATTCGACCATGAAGGCCTGATTCACACAGTCCCCTCTGAACAGTTGATGTTGAGATGTGTCTGTGACTTGAACTCTGTGAAGCATTTATTTGGGCTGCAATTTCTGAGGCTGGTAACTCTGATGAACTTATCCTCTGCAGCAGAGGTAACTCTGGGTCTTTCATTCCTGTGGCGGTCCTCATGAGAGCCAGGTTCATCATAGCGCTTCATGGTTTTTGCGACTGCACTTGAAGAAACTTTCAAAGTTCTTGAAATGTTCCATATTGACTGACCTTCATGTCTTAAAGTAATGACGGACTGTTGTTTCTCTTTGCTTATTTGAGCTGTTCTTGCCATAATATGGACTTGGTCTTTTACCAAATAGGGCTATCTTCTGTATACCCCCCTACCTTGTCACATCACAACTGATTGGCTCAAACGCATTAAGAAGGAAAGAAATTCCACAAATTAACTTTTAAGAAGGCACACCTGTTAATTGAAATGCATTCCAGGTGACTACCTCATGAAGCTGGTTGAGAGAATGCCAAGAGTGTGCAAAGCTGTCATCAAGGCAAAGGGTGGCTATTTGAAGAATCTCAAATATAACATTTTTTGATTTGTTTAACACTTTTGTGGTTACTACATGATTCCATATGTGTTATTTCATAGTTTTGATGTCTTCACTATCATTCTACAATGTAGAAAATAGTAAAAATAAAGAAAAACCCTTGAATGAGTAGGTGTTCTAAAACTTTTGACAGGTAGTGTACGTATTCATACATATACAGGTTTTCACTGCTCTACTCACCAAACACTTTATGCCCTATACCAGCCCATCGTACAGTGACAGTGCCTGCACAATGGAGGGGTCTGCCTTGGAACCCTCCTGAAACTCCTGCAGGGTCAACTTGCCATCAGCATTCTGGAATAGGAACACAGGAGAAGAGACAGTGCAATGGAACTGCAGCTGTATCGCAGATCAGGCTACTTTTACTCTATCTTACCAGCAGGGGGCAAAAGTGTCTCTCAAACAAATCCTGAGTAATGTACCAGAGCCTGTTCTAAACGGCTTAGCTGATCTAGTTCAGTACACTTGGATGGTCAGCTATCTTCCCTCCGCCCATATAAATGACTGAGCACTGCTGCTGTGCTCTGAAGCCAATCCTATCGGCTTATTCTGGCACCGGGTATGGAACTGACACACACGCCCAAGCAGGCTCTATCTCATCTTTCACTAAGCCGAGGACGAGGAGGGCCTGAGTGAGCTGACTGGGCATTAGCACTGGGCTGTGGTGGTGAGGGGGTAACTTTGGTGTTTATAGACCGCAGGCAGTGTTAGTGACACTGGGATGGCTCTGGCTAAGAGGCTAAACTACACGCCCCGCCTCACTGCACTACAGCACAGGGACAACAGTAAGAACACAATCCACATTCAGTCTTTTCTGTTGATTTTGCTAGGCAGTGCATTACAATAGTACTGCCACTTACTTGAAAAACAAAGTGATCTATAAGATGTACAACAAAATGCAAAATAGCTACCAACATACCAAAAGTCAACACATAGTTACATAATGATATCATAACCCATGGTGGTGGTTTTGGGTTAATACAGTGTTTTATTTGTGGAATAGAGATATACCTTGTCCATCATGGCAAAAATACGGTCCACTCTCTTCTCAGGTGTATTCTCTTCTTCTGGTAACTCTACAGTGTTCCCCTGGAACACAAAGGCAAACATACTGTCAATATACATGTCAATGTAAAACACTGTATGTGAATGCTACCATTACCCTTTGACATTGGAACATTTTAGTATTGTATAACTTACCACCATCAGATATATGGCATCTACGATGTTTAACATCTCGTCTCGTGTGATGTAGCCATCGTTATCAAGATCATACAATTTGAAAGCCCCTGTAAAGACAGCAAAAGAACAAATGGTGAATGCCCAGTATTGACTGTCAATAAAGTTGTTTTGAGATTGTGCAGATGGGGTGGATGAGTGTATGCAGCCTTTATGTTTTACTAATGTATTGTATGCTTGTAAATCAGATTGAAAATGAGTGGCTGTGTGTGGGGGAGTGGAGTGGGATGAGGGTTTTGAGATGGAATGAACCCCTGCATAGTCAGAGCCATTTTTCCCAAATATCCAAACCCAGGGCTCACACAGTAGGCAACACCATTTAAGTTAATGCACTACCATGCCTAACTATCTCTTATTTGTAGTCTTCTGTGAGCCTGTCAAGCTCTTTGTTTTGTTTCATGCATAACAATAGGATCACAAAGAGCCAGGTCCTGTCACTGAAGTGTCAAAGTGCATCAGGGGGTCACTGCCTAATGTGAAGGGGTCATCTCTCCTTACATCTGAGCTTCTCGTCCAGCGTCCCCCGAGAAGTCACCGACAGGGCCTGGATGAACTCCGAGAACTCTATGCGTCCATCCTATTCAATGACAGAGAGAGAGAGGGGGGGGGGGGGGAGACAGATAGACAGGCAGAGATAGAGAGAGAGAAAGAGAGAGAGAGGGGTGGGAGACAGGCAGCGAGAGAAAGATAGAGAGAGAGAGAGAAAGAGAGAGAGGGGGGATAATAGAGATAGAGAGAGAGGCAGAGAGCGAGAGAGAGACAATGAATATCTTCTTTCACACTAACACCCCAAAACACTTTGTTTGGTCTACTGCTGAAAAGTGGGACAGACTTGTGCTCCGTGTCTGCTGCTATTTCTGCACTGCACCTGGCTCTCCCCCGAGGCTAAAGCATGTCATCGCTGGTCATTAGCGAGTTGGATGCATGCTGTACGATATTTTGAAAGTTATTACACACTCATAGAACCATTGTATATTAGAGCCAAATACATTTCACAGCTTTCACATCGATTATACATCTGAAATGGACATCACCGGTTTCTCCCTCTGTCCTACAGGGTAAAAGCATTCTCCAGACAGTTTTATTTCGCTCCAGCTTTCTTGGATTCCCTCACAGCATCCTGCCACAGCACTCAGAAGAATTTTCAATTACCTTCCAAAAATTGGGGGCAAATCGGTGGTCTGCAGCTTACTGCTGCGAGGGTTCACTTTGTGCAGTACATGGAAATGTCTGCCAATAAGAGATAGTGGTCAAGTCCAAAATGGAATCATAAAGCAGCACTAACAAAGAGACTGGCTGCAAATTCAGCTCTCTTGATGGTTCTGAAATCAAAGCTCATTCAGCTCTACCAGACTTGCACTAATGTATTCTTTAATAGTGCATAGTATTTTGCTATTCATTCTCTAAAGCAGAATATCTGTGACAAGAGCTGCTCCTAGTAAAGCCTGAAAATTGACACCTTGGATAGGATAGTAACCCTGAGATGAAGTCACTCACTGCTCCTATTCAGAGAGTCTGACCCCACTATTAAGACCAATGTGTTCTCTAACTACAGGGTGCCTAGCACAAATGAAGCCCATTAATAAACAGCAGAACCAGTGTGTGTGTGATTTCCATGGCACAAAGCCCATTACCCACAGGCTATGGCTGCCAGGGGTCATCGGCCAGCCTGGAAGGGCTGTTCTTAACAACACATAGTCCATTTCTCTTTCATTTTCAGGCACCTGTGCTTTGTCAACCTGTCTCACCTCTGATTGGCCACACAGAAGGTACTCCTTTCAGTGCTCGGATTCCACCTCTAATTAGAGACCATTACACTGCACTACCAGTACCATGACCAGACACTACCAGTACCATGACCAGACACTACCAGTACCATGACCAGGCACTACCAGTACCATGACCAGACACTACCAGTACCATGACCAGACACTACCAGTACCATGACCAGACACTACCAGTACCATGACCAGACACTACCAGTACCATGACCAGACACTACCAGTACCATGACCAGCACTACCAGTACCATGACCAGGACACTACCAGTACCATGACCAGACACTACCAGTACCATGACCAGACACTACCAGTACCATGACCAGACACTACCAGTACATGACCAGACACTACCAGTACCATGACCAGACACTACCAGTACCATGACCAGGCACTACCAGTACCATGACCAGACACTACCAGTACCATGACCAGACACTACCAGTACCATGACCAGACACTACCAGTACCATGACCAGACACTACCAGTACCATGACCAGACACTACCAGTACCATGGCCAGGCACTACCAGTACCATGACCAGACACTACCAGTACCATGACCAGACACTACCAGTACCATGACCAGACACTACCAGTACCATGACCAGAGACAGCATCCTTGGAACTATATGTTAGCATTTGCTTCCTAACATTGCAGTGACTTTGAAATGCTAATTAAAATCACAGAAAAAGCACATGTACTTGTGGAGGAACAAATGAAGGAATCAACAATCAAAAACCTTGTTTTCATCAAAGACGTTGAAGACAAAAGAAGCAAACTTGGTGGGGTCACCAAAAGGGAAGAACTGCTTGTAGATCTTCTGAAAGCCCACAGCATCCAGCTGACCACTTGGACAGTCCTTTATAAAGCCTTTGTACCTGCAGGAGATGATGATGATGATGATGAGAGGGGGAGGAAAAGAGAACACAAGAGAAGGTTAACAGGATAAGGATACAATTAGCCTGTTGAATATAATATGAAATTATGTTCAATGCTTCAGAAGCAGCTCTTCACAGGCAACCAGCATTTATCTAGTTTAAAACAGCATGCTGTATCAAAAGGTTAGACCCAAAGCTATTTGTCTTGCTAGCGGATAAGATAATGTATCTAATCCAATAGAATAGGCAGAGGGAGTTTACTTCAAATTACTTTCTTCTCTACTTTTGCTAATGTGCATAAATGATAGATAAATCTGTGAGCTTCTAGACTCTGGTGATGATACATCCAGAATGACATAACATTACAGTTAAATACAGAACCATGTTTCATATGCAATTTCCCAGTCAATCAAAGGTAGATAGTCTCGTTGTACAACTCAATAAAGAAACAGTGTTATCAGAGTCGAATAACAAGCCTTTAATGGGTCTGTACAGAGGCAGGGAGGGAGAAGGAGAAGGAGAGGGAGAGTCAAAGAATGAATCAGAGATTAGTATGCTAGTTTAAGGAGATGATAAGTGTAGATTTCTCTCTCCATCTCTTTCTCTGGTTAAGGCATGAGGGTACTTATCAGTCCATATGACTGTGCATCCATATGGCGTCTGAACCAATGTTAGACAGTGATGTTCAGAGGTGGACAGCTCTTCTGTGAGTTCCCATAACTTCCCATGTCTCTGTGTGATTCACCACAGACACAGACTGGTCCTGATGAGGATCTGCTGTAATGAAGGCCAGACTGAGAGTCATGGAGGATGAAGCCCAGGACAGATCCTGGGCTACATTCAGTCCTTCCGTTGGCTCCTTACTCTGAAACTCATACTTTTAATCTGCCCAACAGATAAAACACACTCCTCCATGGCCTGGAATAGGACAGACAGACACAGGGAATCACTGAACATAGGCTGAGAAAAGTTTGAAGAGAAGACCATAATCCTGCCATTTGCATATCCAGATGTGGAGATATGCAGAGAAATTAAAACCCAATGAAGAACAATGAGGAATCAAGTCTAATTGCCGTTCAGTGGGCAGGCAATACAAAGCACATCGTAATCCCAAGATGACCCATTTCAAGTGAGATAGATTTAGTCTGACTCATTTGTGAAATTTCCATTGTCTCTGTAAAAAGTAAATATTTTCAGTAGATTCATTGGGGAACTTATGCAAAAACACAGTTCATGCAAAAACTCACAGCCCTCTAGATTTAATCAGTTGGTTAGTAGTCATTGACTACTAATTGGACATTAAGCAGGATGATCCCTATCTAACTAAACAAAATGTGACGCAGCTCTCTCTAGTTTGATGTGGCCCTGGCTAACTCAGTAGCATATGTAGAGTTCTGCATGGACACATACAGTATAGCGTAGTGTAACGGATGCCATGCTGCCTGCTTAGCGAGTACCGCTTCCTCCTGATTTGGCTCATACCGAGGCTCGAACCCAGGACCTCTGCTTTGTTTCTTACCAGTCGGCGCAACCGAAAAGCTATCTATTCAGTGACGCAAGTGGGGACACTTCAGGCTCAGGAGTGAGCTTCGCACATCCCCATGTGATACAGTCACCCCCCAAACTTACTCCACAGCGACCCCAGCGTTGAGCTGAGTGCAACTGGAGATCCAAATATCACAGCACCATGTGTAACGGACGTCACGTTACCAGCTTAACTAGTACCGCTTCCTCCTGATTCGGTTCATACCGAGGTTCAAACACATGGGACCTCTGCCTTGCTAGCCGACGTGACCGCCCTCCCGAAGCGTCTTACCAGTCGGCGCCACCAAAAAGCTAGCTATTCAGCGGCGCAAGTGGGGACATTTCAGGCTGAGGACTGAGTTTCACACATCCCCATGTGGTACACTTTCTCCCAGGCCTTTCAGTATAATTGTACTCATTCACATAGAGATAGCCTACACCAGTAGACCAGTGCAATTATGTCACAGTTAGCGAGCCAACATGGGGATATACATGACTGGCAGCTTTCTACCAACACACTGTCATCTGTCATCATGGTGGATGGCTATAAACAGTGTTGTGGACAAGGATATTTAGCTATTTTCCCTTGTTGTTGTCCAGTTGGCAGGGATACTTGGCTCTGTGCCTCTGTTATTGATTGCAGGTGAGCACTAAGCATACTAATGACATTTCCCCATGAATAGTTTAGCATATCATCAATATGGAGGAGACATTTAATGTACAGCACTGGCATTTATCTAACTCTTCCATGTCTGTCGGTGGCTCCTCCACTAATTACACACCATCTGGCATTTCCCCTGTTTAAACTGTCTCTCATCCTTCACACTCAACCATGGTGACTGCGGCTGATCTTCAAGTGGGGAGTCATGCAAAGTTTACGTAAAATAATGGATGGGAGGGAGGGTGACTTAGCTGGCTGCAGTGCACAGCCAAGGGCTTATTCTGCCCCAGTGCACCCAGGCAGCCCCTGAGACTGGTCAGCTCTGTAGCCCCGTGCTGGAGAAGCCAGCCAAGCGTTGTCTTTCTGCTGCTGCTGCATGTGGACGGGGATGTGGATGGGCCCTTGCTCACTGGCCCTACTAGAGAGGGCAGTGCATCAACACACTGACTGGCTGGCTCATGAGGCACTGACTCCTCTCTCTATCTTACAGCCAGGATCAGGTTGACACAAAGCCAAGGCCAATGAAATAGCGTTAAAGACCTGGCATGTGAGATGGATAGGGAAAGGCAGCATTGGCACGTGATATAGGTTACTGTAAATCATCATTTATTGTTTATGCTAGATCTAGCCTGGGGTAAGATGTATTCAACTCTTTTCTACCACTCATTTACTACAAGAATAAAAACAGAAGCATTTGCAGTGTTGAATAAGGACCAAGTAGGACTCAGGCAGCTACATCATCATTTTGCTTTGAGATTAGTTGGCTGTGTTTTATAGCATTACATGGCAGAGGACATGACCCAATTCCCTGTGTGCTTCAAATTGCAAAAAACTGTGAGGGGGAAAGCCATGCATGCAAAGACAAAGAGTACCTATAAATACTCACATCCTCAACAATAGCACCAATCCTTGACTCTGTAGGAAAAAGTCATTCTATTTTCAGAACTCATCTGTCTCCAAGGCAATGTGTGAAAAAATAACTTTAGCCTCAAATGCAGTAGTGCTATGCAATCTATTAGTGATGGGGGCAAAAAATCAATACAATTACATATATCGCAATTTATAGTTGGATGATTTTATATCGATATTTGACTCCAAGTATTGATTGAAAAAATATATAAATATATACACTACCGTTCAAAAGTTTGGGGTCACTTAGAAATGTCCTTGTTTTCGAAAGAAAATCATTTTTTTTGTCCATTAAAATAACTTCAAATTTATCAGAAATACAGTGTAGACATTGTTAATGTTGTAATGGCTATTGTAGCTGGAAGGCTGATTTTTAATGAAATATCTACATGGGCGTACAGAGGCCCATTATCAGCAACCATCAGTCCTGTGTTCCAATGGCACGTTGTGTTTGCTAATCCAAGTTTATCATTTTAAAAGGCTAATTGATCATTAGAAAACCCTTTTGCAATTATGTTAGCACAGCTGAAAACTGTTGTGCTGATTAAAGAAGCAATAAAACTGGCCTTCTTGAGACTAGTTGAGTATCTGGAGCATCAGCAATTGTGGGTTCGATTACAGGCTCCAAATGGCCAGAAACAAATAACTTTCTTCTGAAACTCGTCAGTCTATTCTTGTTCTGAGAAATGAAGGCTATTCCATGCGAGAAATTGCCAAGAAACTGAAGATCTCGTACAACACTGTGTACTACTCCCTTCACAGAACAGCGCAAACTGGCTCTAACCAGAATAGAAAGAGGAGTGGGAGGCCCCAGTGCACAACTGAGCAAGAGGACAAATACATTAGAGTGTCTAGTTTGAGAAACAGGCGCCTCACAGGTCCTCAACTGGCAGCTTCATTAAATAGTACCTGCAAAACACCCGTCTCAACGTCAACAGTGAAGAGGCGACTCCGGGATGCTGACCTTCTAGGCAGAGTTGCAAAGAAAAAGCCATATCTCAGACTGCCCATCTTAATCTTTTATTTTTATTGGCCAGTCTGAGATATGGCTTTTTCTTTGCAACTCTGTGCAAAGCTGTCATCAAGGCAAAGGGTGGCTATTTGAAGAATCTCAAATATAACATACATTTTGATTTGTTTAACACTTTTTTGGTTACTACATGATTCCATATGTGTTATTTCATAGTTTTGATGTATTCACTATTATTATTCTACAATGTAGAAAATAGTACAAATAAAGAAAAACCCTTGAATGTTCTAAAACTTTTGACCGGTAGTGTATAAATATATATTTTTTTTCTATCATCTTATTTTGTTATTTTATATACTGTATTTTGCATGAGAGCCAGAGATAATTACAGACACCTGTGATATTACGAAGTACCCAAAAGGGCCACTAGATGTCTTGTGATAAATTACATAAAATCCTTGAAGGTTACTACAATTGTGGTAGTTAACTGATAAACTTCTAAAGTTTCCAGCAATATACCCTCCCTTTCCAACCCTAATCATGATAATACCGTATCGTGAGGTCCCTGGCAATTCCCAGCCCTACAATCTAGCCTATTTCAATACTTTATCCATGGATTTCACGTTAGAAGCAATATCCGTGCGTCACAGAACTATCAAATTGAGGATTTAATCAGAGGGCTATATAACGTTAGACGTGCTCCCTGCACTCTGTAGAAAGGTCTTAATAACCAGAGCAGAGTTGGAGCATCAGTCAGACATGAGTAAACAACTCTTGACACAGTATGGCTGCTGCTCAGGAAGCTCCAGCCCAGCCAGCTCCCAGCCAGCTCACCCCTCAGTTACAGTGTACCTGCTCTCCAGAGTCAGACCTGAGTCAGACTGAGCCTGCAGGCTTCAGCCAGCCTTTAGATGGGAGCCACTCAGCAAGGCATATGGCCCCTGGAGCACCTGACATTAACACCAGAACACCTGCCAAATTTAGTAAACAGCACATGTTGCAGGTGAATCTGTCACTCACCCACATTTGCAGGTACAGTTCTAAGAGTCTAATTGAGCACTAGACCCAATGCAGACTAGAACTATTTGACTTTTTGAGAGAAGAGAGGGGTAGAAAAGGGTAGAGCAGGAAAGGGAGAGGGTCATTGAAAATCATATGTACTTACCACTGTTGCACTTCTTTCTCTGTAACTGTAAGAAAAAAGGAGAATTTTTAGTAAGAGAGAATAAAGTTATGTACCATGTCTCAGACCATTTAGATGACTTGGAAAAATCCATTGCCAGTTGAAAATCACAGATTCCCATCAAATAAAATAAAATAAAATGTTATTGGCCACATGCACCGAATACAACAGGTGCAGACATTACAGTGAAATGCTTACTTACAGCCCTTAACCAACAGTGCATTTATTTTAAATAAAAAAATTAGAATAAAACAACAAAAAAGTGTTGAGAAAAAAAGAGCAGAAGTAAAATAAAATAACAGTAGGGAGGCTATATATACAGGGGGGTACCGGTGCAGAGTCAATGTGCGGGGGCACCGGCTAGTTGAGGTAGTTGAAGTAATATGTACATGTGGGTAGAGTTAAAGTGACTATGCATAAATAATTAACAGAGTAGCAGCAGCGTAAAAAGATGGGGTGGAGGGGCAGTGCAAATAGTCCGGGTAGCCATGATTAGCTGTTCAGGAGTCTTATGGCTTGGGGGTAGAAGCTGTTGAGAAGTCTTTTGGACCTAGACTTGGCACTCCGGTACCGCTTGCCGTGCGGTAGCAGAGAGAACAGTCTATGACTAGGGTGGCTGGAGTATTTGACAATTTTGAGGGCCTTCCTCTGACACCGCCTGGTATAGAGGTCCTGGATGGCAGGAAGCTTGGCCCCAGTGATGTACTGGGCCGTACGCACTACCCTCTGTAGTGCCTTGCGGTCGGAGGCCAAGCAGTTGCCATACCAGGCGGTGATGCAACCAGTCAGGATGCTCTCGATGGTGCAGCTGTATAATTCTTTGAGGATCTGAGGACCCATTCCAAATCTTTTCAGTCTCCTGAGGGGGAATAGGCTTTGTCGTGCCCTCTTCACGACTGTCTTGGTGTGTTTGGACCATGATAGTTCGTTGGTGATGTGGACACCAAGGAACTTGAAGCTCTCAACCTGTTCCACATGACCGCATAGGTTGGACTGTCACAAAAAAAAAGTATAATTATGATTGCACTGACCACTTTGGGGTTTCTTATCATCAATTTGCACCCACCCTGAGGAATAATGTGTAATTGAATTCAGTACTTTTGTTGTTTAATATGTAGCCTAATTATTTTTGTTGTTTAATGTATAATTGAATTCAGTACTTTTGTTGTTTAATGTGTAATTTAATTCAGTACTTTTGTTGTTTAATATGTAATTTAATTCAGTACTTTTGTTATTTAATGTGTAATGGAATTCAGTCATTTTGTTGTTTACAAACTGAATGATTCATCACCCCTGAAGCTATGGAATTCACTAATCTGCTGCATTGCTCTCAAGGACTTCCACATTATTATTATTTCAAAGGTCAACTTAGAAGATTCATGGACAGATGGAGAGAGGGAGAGAGAGAGACAGAGATACAGAGAGAGGTTAGCAGGAGGAAAGTGAGTGGCTTGGGGATCGAGACGTGTTATCATGCCCACAATCTGCGTTAGTATCAACCACTCTCTCGTGGTTCTCCCTCCTCCCTCCATCCTCCAAAGTAACCAAAGCAATTTTCACCATCTGAATTAAATGGGGCATACTCTCTAAAACAAGGGCGGAAAAATCAATGACTGTGTAGTTTAACCTGGTGGTCCTGTGAGGGCGTTCTGAACATACAGTCGTGGTCAAAAGTTTTGAGAATGACAAAAATATTAATTTTCACAAAGCCTGCTGCCTCAGTTTTTATGATGGCAATTTGCATATACTCCAGAATGTCATGAAGAGTGATCAGATGAATTGCAATTAATTGCAAAGTCCCTCTTTGCCATGAAAATGAACTTAATCCCCCAAAAAAACATTTCAACTGCATTTCAGCCCTGCCACAAAAGGGACCAGCTGACATCATGTCAGTGATTCTCTCGTTAACACAGGTGAGAGTGTTGATGAGGACAAGGCTGGAGATCACTCTGTCATGCTGATTGAGTTAGAATAACAGACTGGACGCTTTAAAAGGAGGGTGGTGCTTGAAATCATTGTTCTTCCTCTGTTAACCATGGTTACCTGCAAGGAAACACGTGCCGTCATCATTGCTTTGCACAAAAAGGGCTTCACAGGCAAGGATATTGCTGCTAGTAAGATTGCACCTAAATCAACCATTTATCGGATCATCAAGAACTTCAAGGAGAGAGGTTCAATTGTTGTGAAGAAGGCTTCAGGGCGCCCAAGAAAGTCCAGCAAGCGCCAGGACCGTCTCCTAAAGTTGATTCAGCTGCGGGATCGGGGCACCACCAGTGCAGAGCTTTCTCAGGAATGGCAGCAGGCAGGTGTGAGTGCATCTGCACGCACAGTGAGGCGAAGACATTTGGAGGATGGCCTGGTGTCAAGAAGGGCAGCGAGGAAGCCATTTCTCTCCAGGAAAAACATCAGGGACAGACTGATATTCTGCAAAAGGTACAGGGATTGGACTGCTGAGGACTGTGGTAAAGTAATTTTCTCTGATGAATCCTATTTCCGATTGTTTGGGGCATTCGGGAAAAAAGCTTGTCCGGAGAAGACAAGGTGAGCGCTACCATCAGTCATGTGTCATGCCAACAGTAAAGCATCCTGAGACCATTCATGTGTTGGGTTGCTTCTCAGCCAAGGGAGTGGGCTCACTCACAATTTTGCCTAAGAACACAGCCATGAATAAAGAATGGTACCAACACATCCTCAGAGAGAAACTTCTCCCAACCATCCAAGAACAGTTTGGTGACGAACAATGCCTTTTCCAGCATGATGGAGCACCTTGCCATAAGGCAAAAGTGATAACTAAGTGGCTCGGGGAACAAAACATCAACATTTTGGGTCCATGGCCAGGAAACTCCCCAGACCTTAATCCCATTGAGAACGTGTGGTCAATCCTCGAGAGGCGGGTGGACAAACAAAGACCCACAAATTCTGACAAACTCCAAGCATTGATTATGCAAAAATGGGCTGCCATCAGTCAGGATGTGGCCCAGAAGTTAATTGACAGCATGCCAGGGTGGATTGCAGAGGTCTTGAAAAATAAGGGTTAACACTGCAAATATTGACTCTTTGTATAAACTTAATGTAATTGTCAATAAAAGCCTTTGACACTTATGGAATGCTTGTAATTATACTTCAGTATACCATAGTAACATCGGACAAAAACATCTAAAAACACTGAAGCAGCAAACTTTGTGAAGACCAATACTTTTGTCATTCTCAAAACTTTTGACCACGACTGTACACTGCTCATAGCCTCAGGACAGACAGGGGGCATTCTCTATACCGACAGGATGCTTCTTAATAAGGCACCACAAACAACACAATTAACTAGATGTTCATGGGCTAGATGTTGCTGTTCCCACTGCCACAGGTCACATTGACACATGGATATGGTGGTGCTGTACTGTTGCCTTGGTAATGAGTGTTCTAATGTTGTATTCACCATAACCTTAGTTAGATAAAAAAGCTAATATATAGAATCCTTCAAGACCTTATCCAGTCTTTGGAGGGAATAATTCATGGGTTTGAATAGTCACAACTATCATATTACCTGAACCTTACACAGTGAGGGCTCTATTTTAACAAAGCTAACGCAATGGTAAATCTAAGCGCTGGAAGTAGTGCTATAGGTCTGGGGGTGGGTGAGAAATATTGTTTATATTTTCACAGCCTTTATTATCAGCGCAATAACTGGGGGTAGCGCGAAATGGCTGGGTTTTGAGAGAGAACATACTAGGCTCCCGTGAATTGTATTGTATGTGTGAGGTAGGTTCTCAATAAGCAAAATATACACTACATAACTAAAAGTATGCGGACACCTGCTAGTCCAACAACTCATTCCAAAATCATGGGCATTAATATGGAGTTGGTCCCCCCTTTGCTGCTATAACAGCCTCCACTCTTCTGGGAAGGCTTTCCAAAAGATGTTGGAACATTGCTGCGGGGACTGCAAGCACAGAATCGTCTAGAATGTCATTGTATGCTATAGCGTTAAGATTTCCCTTCACTGAAACTAAGGGGCCTAGCCCGAACCATGAAAAACAGCCCTAGACCATTATTCCTCCTCCACCAAACTTTACAGTTGGCACTATGCATTCGGGCAGGTAGCATTCTCCTGGCATCCGCCAAACCCAGATTCTTCCGTCGGACTGCCAGATGGTGAAGCGTGATTCATCACTCCAGAGAGCGCATTTCCACTGGTCCAGAGTCCAATGGTGGCGAGCTTTACATCACTCCAGCTTGGCATTGCGCATGGTGATCTTAGGCTTGTGTGCGGCTGCTTGGGCATGGAAACCCATTTCATTAATCTCCCAACGAACAGTTCTTGTGCTGATGTTGCTTCCAGAGGCAGTTTAGAACTCGGTAGTGAGTGTTGCAATCAAGGAAGGACGATTTTCTACTATTTTTCCCACTTCACGGCTGAGCCGTTGTTGCTCCTAGACGTTTCCACTTCACAATAACAGCACTTACAGTTGACCGGGGCAGCTCTAGCAGGGCAGAAATTTGATGAACTGACTTGTTGAAAAGGTGGCATCCTATCATGGTACCACGTTGAAAGTCACTGAGCTCTTCAGTAAGGCCATTCTACTGCCAATGTTTGTTTATGGAGATTGCATGGCTGTGTGCTCAATTTTATACACCTGTCAGCAATGGGAGTGGCTGAAATAGCCGAATCCACAAATTTGAAGGTGTGTCCACATACTTTTGGCCATGTAGTGTATATATTGTATAATGACGAAGCTGTAAAACATCATCCTAAATATAAAACATTAATTTACCATCAACATGAAATATCCTTTATATTTATTTTACTATATGAATATGTCTTTGTTGTAAATGTTTTTGCACCAAACTGGTGGCAGTTGTGGAAAAAGTCAATAGAAGAGTTGCAGAGTTAATTGAAAATAATGCTATTGTTGATTTGATGCTTTTTTCATTAATTAGGCTATTTTCTCTTTAACCATATGGTCTATCCACTAGAAACTCATGGACAATATGGACACAGATATAAAAAATGAATACTATATATGAATACATTTTTCAAAGTTATTAAAGTATAAATTATACATTTTGTATATATAGTGTAGCGTACGCCTGCCGTTTATACTGAATTATAGGACAGAATAATTTAAATACGTTTGGAGGAGCGCGTCTTTGGTAACCAGATGAGAAGCGCTCTTTGGAAATGGGGATGGATACCAGCTGAATGGAGTATGCACTGCAGGTAGGCATATGTTAATTGTGAATACTGCAAAAGTCTCATGAGTAGACAACCAATTAGAAACCTTTTATGGATCTAGGCTACTTCGTGAATGCATGGCCAGGATAGGAAAGACCCCAGACGCATTGCTGTTGAACCAGCTTTCGTTATAGAAGGGTAAGGGTAGCCTACTAAGGACTTTGTTACAGGAAAATAACTTAAAAGTTTCTAAATACAAGTGTCACCCAATTAGCTCATCTCTCGTTCCATGATGGGCATATAGCCTACAGTACAGTTTTTTTAAATCCTCATCCAAAATAATAACAGGAGCTGGCTAAAATAATGTAAAGCCTACAAAGATAAAAAGGGGATGTCCCCTTACTGTTTTGCTCTTGATCTTTTAATAAAGCTTTGGTGATTAAGATATATTACAAAGCGGTCTCGAGCCAAATCCTTTATCGATAGTCTTGACTACTTGGCGAATGCATTGTGCAGGACAAAAAAGCAGCCTTCATTGTGAGGAGGGGAGGCTTTGTTTTTAAGGACACACCTCAGATATTGCTACCCCTCCAACCTCAGCGCAAGCTCATATAAGACAAATCAATTACCAGTCCTGGCGCTAGGGTTTGAAAATTGCAGGTCGAAATTGCAATAGAGCCCTGAATGTGCAAAGGTCATGTCCAGGAATACCTGTAACTTTCAAGTATATACAGTGGGGGAAAAAAGTATTTAGTCAGCCACCAATTGTGCAAGTTCTCCCACTTAAAAAGATGAGAGAGGCCTGTAATTTTCATCATAGGTACACGTCAACTATGACAAACAAATTGAGAAATAAAAATCCAGAAAATCACATTGCAGGATTTTTAATGAATTTATTTGCAAGTTATGGTGGAAAATAAGTATTTGGTCACCTACAAACAAGCAAGATTTCTGGCTCTCACAGACCAGTAACTTCTTCTTTAAGAGGCTCCTCTGTCCTCCACTCGTTACCTGTATTAATGGCACCTGTTTGAACTTGTTATCAGTATAAAAGACACCTGTCCACAACCTCAAACAGTCACACTCCAAACTCCACTATGGCCAAGACCAAAGAGCTGTCAAAGGACACCAGAAACAAAATTGTAGACCTGCACCAGGCTGGGAAGACTGAATCTGCAATAGGTAAGCAGCTTGGTTTGAAGAAATCAACTGTGGGAGCAATTATTAGGAAATGGAAGACATACAAGACCACTGATAATCTCCCTCGATCTGGGGCTCCACGCAAGATCTCACCCCGTGGGGTCAAAATGATCACAAGAACGGTGAGCAAAAATCCCAGAACCACACGGGGGGACCTAGTGAATGACCTGCAGAGAGCTGGGACCAAAGTAACAAAGCCTACCATCAGTAACACACTACGCCGCCAGGGACTCAAATCCTGCAGTGCCAGACGTGTCCCCCTGCTTAAGCCAGTACATGTCCAGGCCCGTCTGAAGTTTGCTAGAGTGCATTTGGATGATCCAGAAGAGGATTGGGAGAATGTCATATGGTCAGATGAAACCAAAATATAACTTTTTGGTAAAAACTCAACTCGTCGTGTTTGGAGGACAAAGAATGCTGAGTTGCATCCAAAGAACACCATACCTACTGTGAAGCATGGGGGTGGAAACATCATGCTTTGGGGCTGTTTTTCTGCAAAGGGACCAGGAGACTGATCCATGTAAAGGAAAGAATGAATGGGGCCATGTATCGTGAGATTTTGAGTGAAAACCTCCTTCCATCAGCAAGGGCATTGAAGATGAAACGTGGCTGGGTCTTTCAGCATGACAATGATCCCAAACACACCGCCCGGGCAACGAAGGAGTGGCTTCGTAAGAAGCATTTCAAGGTCCTGGAGTGGCCTAGCCAGTCTCCAGATCTCAACCCCATAGAAAATCTTTGGAGGGAGTTGAAAGTCTGTGTTGCCCAGCGACAGCCCCAAAACATCACTGCTCTAGAGGAGACCTGCATGGAGGAATGGGCCAAAATACCAGCAACAGTGTGTGAAAACCTTGTGAAGACTTACAGAAAACGTTTGACCTGTGTCATTGCCAACAAAGGGTATATAACAAAGTATTGAGAAACTTTTGTTATTGACCAAATACTTATTTTCCACCATAATTTGCAAATAAATTCATTAAAATCCTACAATGTGATTTTCTGGATTTCTTTTTCTCATTTTGTCTGTCATAGTTGACGTGTACCTATGATGAAAATTACAGGCCTCTCATCTTTTTAAGTGGGAGAACTTGCACAATTGGTGGCTGACTAAATACTTTTTTTCCCCACTGTAGCTCATGTCAGTGACTGTCTGAATGTGAGTTCCCAATGGAAAGGGAGAGGGATGATGAATAAATGAGAGTAGGTGTCTACCTTTCCTCCTACACGCTCAATCAAATATCCTTTGGGAAAAGAATGCCTAATTTTAAAGGCCAAAATATAAACTCTTTATTTTCCTCTTTCATTAACAGCAACCTAGACAGTGCCATTTCAATGCTAAGCAGTTAAAATAAAAACATTTTATTAGCTTCTCACTGTATGTGCAGAAAATGGTAGGCTATTTATACAGTGCCTGTTGCAGTGTTGTTTTCATGGGCTCTTTCCTTGATAACAAGGTAGTTAATTTAGGTAGATAAGTGACGTTGACAATGTTAGCAGTGTTTTGTCAATTTGAGACAGACATTCCTGACTGTAATACTCTATTAAAGCCTACATCAGTGAAGCTGGGCTATAGCCTAGGCCTGTGTGTGCCAGGCTTTCAGAAATAAGTGTGTCTCCAGTGTAAAAGAACAGGAAATAAGTCTGAGCAGAGTGCAGAGATTAAGAAAGCATTTATTTTGGGAGGAATTTGGAGAGCCTTCAACCAGCATGAGAGAAAATCATCATTAATTCTAACATCCAGACACTGTCTATGAGTCAGTGCTGCATCATTGTGTCCATTACAGAAAGAATGGCCACATCCTGATACTAGTGAGAAACACGATAAACAATAGATTGAAGACTCTATATTTAGAACAAGACATAACCTAGGTCTAGACCTTGTTCAGTGTTCTATATTATGTAGTAGCTGGTCTGCTCTCAAAAAGAGATTCAAGGTTAGTATTTAATATCTATTTACTTCATGTGTATTGTATTGTATATTTGAGATGCATTATTGATGTGTGTGTCTGTTCCAGGAGCGCACATACGAATGCACCTGTCGCTCGTTACCCCGAACAAGCCCACAATAAAGAAGCATACCTTCAGAGGAGAAGCTGATGACACTGACGAAGGCCGATATTTTTGTCTATCTACCATGAAATAAATACTAAAAAGAAACCTTGAATGTTTTTGTTGTTGTTGTGAGGACCAGGTATGTAATAGAATTTTGGAATTCTATTACATTTTGGTCAACGCACCTGTTCTGAGAGCAGTGGTCACAAGAACTTCCATATTATGTAGTGACAGCTTACAGGAATATTGCAAGCAAGGTAAAAAATGAAAGTGATATCATGGTCGCAGCCACAAGCCAGGCTATTCTTTCTCTCCAACAGACTGGTTACAATATTGTTATTATTTCATCAAGTATGGTGACTGACTGGTGCATTTAGTATAAGTGCAGTGTAGAGACATGTTCATCCCTGCTTCACTATGCCTTGCTCAGTGCTTCACAGACAATCGTCATGTGACACATTTAGAAATGACAGAGTCAATCTTACGACTGTCAGGCAAGCCAAGCTACCATTACATTGGCCTCAAAAGTAAATGACGTCAAATAAAATCAAGTTTTATTACGTAACTCAGTCAAAGGCAATGGGCAGTAATATAATCAGCCTATGAGGAGGGAGGAAAGCAGTGAGGCCAGGGCTAGCAGCTCAGCTCCCTTGCCCTGCAGGGCCTGCTCACACACATCCAGCTTGCACTCTGTCAGTATCAACCTCTGAGCTGAGTCTGACAGCTAACAAAAACACCTATTACATCCTCAAGTCACATGATATCAGACCAGTCATTTGGGAAACCATTTAGCTTGTTCGGTTTTAGGTACAGTAAGCTAAACTGTGGCCCTCTACATTAAAATATGGGTATACTATGTCTTTAGCCATAAAATGCTATATAAAATGCTTGTTATAGTGGCAAATTGCAATAGCTAATAGTGACAGAAGGCAAGCACAGGACATCTCTCTGCTTTCTGTCCTGCACAACCAAACCTGTAAGACTGGTATCATTATAGATAGGCTAATACTTTGAAGTGCCAAAAGAGAATGTCTCAAACTTGGCATTGGATCAAACTGATGTTGGCAATAAGAGTACAAAAGTTGCATATGAGATTTAATTGACTGGCTGTCAAAGTACCTTGGATGCAAAATAAAAAATCAGCAGAACTGCATCCCTAAATTTCGCTAATGCACAGACGGTGCTCATCCTCTAAATTGGGTGTGTGCCTTGGACAGGATGGGAGGGTAAGGCAGCTTCTTTTAATCTTTTATTATGGCACTGAAAGCAGGCCTACAACTTCCTGAGCTCAAAATTGATCACTGAAAACAACTTCCTATGGGAAAGGAAGAAAGTGCCTGCCCATCTTCCGAAAACATGTGAAACCCTACTTCTTCAATGAGTATATTAAATAATCCCACAGCACCCCCCCCCCCCCCCCCCAGCTCACCCTGACCCCCCCAAAAAATGTTTTAGTTACTTCCCCCCCCCCTTCCTAGCCTGACATTGCTGATAGCTACTTTATTGAAGAAAAATTTACTTATTATGACTGTGATATGTGGTTGTCCCTAGCTATCTTAAGATGAATGCACTAACTGTAAGTCGCTCTGGATAAGAGTGTCTGCGAAATGACTCAAATGTATGTAAATGCTATAAGTCAGAGGAAGGATATTTAAGCTTCTCAACAGGATAGGGAGAAGAGGAACCAGAAAGAGGAGGGAAGGAGACAGAATGAGGAGAGAAATGATAAGGGGTCTAAGTTAGACAAGAGCGGGGTAAGGGAGTGGGCATGCTGGGAGAAAAGGCTGGGTGCCCCTCTGAGCAAAGCTAAGCAGATAAGATCCTAATTATACTAGTTCATTCCCTGCTCAAAGAGGGCAATCAGGGGATGTAGAGAGAGAGAGAGAGAGAGAGAGAGAGAGAGAGAGAGAGAGAGAGAGAGAGAGAGAGAGAGAGAGAGAGAGAGAGAGAGAGAGAGAGAGAGAGAGAGAGAGAGAGAGAATTAGAAGAGGGAGAAAACAGGAAAGAGAGCTGGCTAAAGGACAGCAGCAAACAGCACATCCCAGCACGAAGCCCAATCTTCCTCACCACTGCAATTTCCTTTCACAGCAGCCTTCCCTGGTTGTGGTGCGGTGAAGCCCACCGTGTGAAAAACACTGTCATTAGGCAGCCATTGGCTGTCAACTCCCACCCAACACCTGGCATGCTATGCTACAGACTAGCCATCCACTAGACTAGATACTGTGAGGGCAACACATTTGAACAGTTAGTTAAACTCTAGTCTGTTAAGTACTAAACAACAAAATATAATTGTTTTTATGCACAATGGATGGCTTGGATTATATGGCTATGAATGTGGATGCATGAATTCTGTGATTAGAGAGTTTAGGCCTAATTAACATAATTCGATTCTTGTTATTTCTGCAAATGCCTCCAGTCCACTTTGCTTACAAAGGTTAAGTGATGTATTGCCAACAATGAAAATATTGTTATTTTGCCTGCATCTTAAAGACCTTTCAAAACATTTCGCCTAAATGTGCATACTTATGGAAATGTATGAAGGCTCCAGCAAGCCCATATTTGCTATCTTTGGCAAAACACCAGTGTGATTGCTGATCCAAAGTCTTAACCCCCATCAGCATTTTCATAGATCTCTCCTTCCCAGTGGAGTGTTCCAAAGATGCTGATTAGGACCATTTCCAGACCTAAACCAATCACAATTTGTGACACCATATAAGTATTTATGCAAAAATATGAAGGCTATATCCACCGAGGAGCTGACATTTAATTTGTGCTGTTGTTTCTGAGGATTAAGAGAAACAGAGGCGTAGATGTCTTACACAGGCTACATGCAAACCAGTTCATATGAGGCACATATTTAGTACTATTTTTATTCACTGTTGCTCATCATAAAACTATTATAGATCTGTCTTGGGTCACTGCTATTAGAGTGCTGTTATGGGTATTAGCCTAAATAGGATTAGTTATTGCATGTTACAATGATTTGTGATCCCCACATAACATATTAGCATTTTCTACAATCCATGTCTGATCTGTCCAGTTGAAAAGAGAGAACAGAAAAAAGCGAGAAGGCTACTCACAGTAGGTCTTCCTGGTCAGTTCTTCCACCACCTCCTGCTTGAGCTTGCTGTTTGACTTGCCCATGGTCTGCACCTTTCTCCTTACTGCCTTGGGTTACTCCTCCACGCCTCCTCCAGCTCCACCTTGACACACACTGACTGAACACCCCTCTCAGTCCAGTCCTCGCTGGTCAAACAGATGCAAATATGGGCCAGTTGAGGAAAGCAATACAATTATACCACTGAAACAGTCAACTCTGGAAGAGGATCGAACTCAATCCACCCATATCAGGCTTGTGTTCAGTGCAGTCCACTCTGGATGTGTCAAGACTTCAGCCCTCCAGGGCAGCCACTCCAACCCAAGGGGCTAAGGACTGAATAATGGGAGACTGCTGACTATCTGAGTCTGAGTGTTCGCCTCTCCTTTCTTTAGAATGTTCAGTGGGCGAGAGTGGCGTTGTGATGCGTTGCTACCTTCGTCCTTGGTTACAGGAGTCACCCAGTGTTTGGGTTTTGTGTACGCTCACTCCCTCACATTCTGCTCACTGTTCCTCTCACCCCTCCTTTTCCTCCTTTCTCTCTCTCCCACCCTTTTTTCCCACCACTGTCTCTGTGGTTTCGGGTAACTTACAAGATAATCCTCCCTCTTGATAGCTGAGATAAGGGGGTGGGTAAACTAAAATACAATGAACAGGGTTCAGCCTCAAATGCACTCCCTTTTCAATTACACCCCCAGCTTGAACTCAGATCCCAGCAGGGCATCCTTCAGACACAGCAGCAGAAAATACAAAGTCAAAAGGTCTCTGTGACTTAAAACTGTCATTTAAAATGCAAAATACCGAAATGAGAGAGAAAATGGAAATGTCCCAGTTCTTTGAATGAACGACTAAGGCGGTTTTCCCAGTGTGTTCCCAGCCTGAGGAATTTACAGAGTGACAGTTCACTTTTCTCCTCCATTCTGACTCATAATTTTCCCTACTGCCTGGCCTCACGGTGGCACAGGGTAGCCTAATGATTTCAGCCTCTCACAGCGGACAGGAGATGGATAATGGAATGTATCTGTATCAAAGGCCTGAGGTGGCATTCATTGATGCTTAACCTCAGCAGCTGGCTGAGCCTCAGTACAGGACAGGACACTACGGCACCTTATCTCAGTAAGTAATAGGATCTATGCCTATGTGTTTGTTCCGTTCCTGGCCAGGACTGTCTTCTCCATGCTTGTAACTGTGGTGGTGGTAATCATCCTTGTGTTTGCTCAGCTCTGTGGTCCCGGTTAACCCAGACACTGTGAAAACAAACAGCAGTTTGAAGGTCAGGGCAGTGCCAGGAGGGCCAGACTACTGTGAACATCAGCTCTCCTTAATCCCTGGGATCTCACCCACTCCACACCAATGACAGGAGCACTCGTCTGTGTCAAATGCTGAGCACTTGTTCTCCTCAAGCACTCACTGTTGCCGAGTTTCCACTGAGGATTTACCCCGGTGTTTTACCCAAAAGACTCTTCTGTTTCCATCTACGTGGACTGGCACACGCGTATCACTGGGGCATGGCTACGACAGAACTGCCCTGTTTTTGGGCCAAGACCAGGTCCTGGGTACTTTTCAGCCTGCATTTACAGTTGAAGTCGGAAGTTTACAACCACCTTAGCCAAATACATTTAAACTCAGTTTTTCACAATTCCTGACATTTAATCCTAGCAAAAATTCCCTGTCTTAGGTCAGTTAGGATCACCACTTTATTTTAAGAATGTGAAATGTCAGAATAATAGTAGAGATAATTATTTATTTCAGCTTTTATTTATTTCATCACATTCCCAGTGGGTCAGAAGTGTACATACACTCAATTAGTATTTGGTAGCATTGCCTTTAAATTGTTTAACTTGGGTCAAACATTTTGGGTAGCCTTCCACACTCTTCCCACAATAAGTTGGGTGAATTTTGGCCCATTCCCCCTGACAGAGCTGGTGTAACTGAGTCAGGTTTGTAGGCCTCCTTGCTCGCACACGCTTTTTCAGTTCTGCCCACAAATTTTCTTTAGGATTGAGGTCAGGGCTTTGTGACGGCCACTCCAATACCTTGACTTTGTTGTCCTTAAGCCATTTTGCCACAACTTTGGTAGTATGCTTGGGGTCATTGTCCATTTGGAAGACCCATTTGCGAC